TTAATTAATAACAACTATTTGTTAATGTAGAGTTACGTTGAAATACAATAACGTAGCGGAGAAACCGCTCAGAATCGTTTTTCGTCCGCGTTAAATTGTAACGCGCCGCGGGGGGCGTGTTCTACTACACACGTGCCCGCGTCCGTCCCCGGTATAGGTGCGGGGAATCGTCTCCGCGGCGGGCGGGTGGGTTTCCCCCTGTAATTCTCGCGGTCCGTTTACGAGCGAATAATAATAATAATAACAACAACAACAACAACAACAACAACAACAAATCGCTCATAATATGCAAACGACGAGAGTCGAGTCGCGCATTTCGTACAAATCGCGTGTTTTCCCGAAAAGGTCTCCGACGCGGTGCGTTTTATTATTATTATTATTACTCTCGCCGCCGCCGTGACCGCGGTCGCGTGTAAACACGGCAAAGGTACCCGAGTTTTACTTTCATCCGCGTCGCGGGGATTTCCTACGGACGCCGCGGTTTCGTGTTGACCGCTTTTAACGGGTCCGCGTTAAAGTCCGCGGGAATTCCCGATCGTCCGGGTACCGCGTGTAATCGATCGCCAGTATTATTCTCGTCGTTCGGCCGTTCGTTTCCCGTTATCCCCGCCCGATAACGCGCGACGCGGCCGTCCCCCTACGGTTTTCCGCGAAAGGATATCGCACGGCGCTAATAGCACGCGCGGTTTTCGTACGGGGAGACGCGAGCGATTTCGCCGGGGAAAACGCCGGAAACCGGCGCGCTTTGTCTTGGCGTACCGCGTTTCCGCGTCGCCGCCGTCGCCGGACGGACGGACGAAAAGGCGAAAAACCCCCCCGAAAAAAACGGTCGCCCGTTTATCGCGCGTGTACCGTGCGCGGGGACGTTGTTGTTGTCTCCGACGAGGCTCGCGCGCCTACACGCGTAAACGCGTATATTTCATAATGTACAACACGGGCAAAAGACGATAGGCGCGATAAATCATTCGCGACGTACACTTATAATGCGTTCTGTACGTAATATACGTGCGCGCGCGCGTGTGTGCGTATGTGTGTGCGCGCCCGTGTGTGTACGCAGGCGGCGCGGCGGTCGTGCGGTTATACCAATCGAGGATTTACGGAATAATATTTTAAGCGCCGGGAAAAGAGAAAAACGGCCGCGTAAAAGGCTCCTCCGCCCCCTACCCCCACCCCACTGCGACGGCTGTCCCGCGGCCGCCGCTCGCCACGTACCTGCCGGGGCGGCGCGCCGCGTCGTATAGGCCGCGGAGCGCTCGCGCGAGGCGGCGGCGGCGGTGGTTTTTCTAGAGAAAATCTGGGTAGGTTTACATTTTTTACAGTCTCCCTGCCTCGCTCACTCGCTCTCTACACACACACACACACACACACATATATATAAATATATACCCACTCCTCCTCCGCCGCCGCGACTCTCTGATCACGGGCGCGCGTGGGCCCTCAGCTTCCGACCCGCGCGTTACGTTCGGTATTGATTCGGCGCTCATAAATTACATTTGCCTAGTAAAATGAGAGAACGACACCGCCGCCGCCACCGCTCTGTCATTGGTCGCGTGTGTGTAGGACGGACGGGAGAGGATGGGGTGTGGGTGGGGGGTGGGGGCTGCGGGAGACCGGGGTAGGGGGCGAAAGTATAACGGCGCGCGTATAGTGTCGGCGCGGCGGAGGAAGAGCGGCGGCGATGAAGGCAGGCGACGAAGACGAAGAAGGAAGCGGCGGCGGCGGTAACGAATATACGTAGGCCCGGCGGACGGGAACGAAACGCGTACTCCTCCTACTCCTGTAATAATGTATATAAATATACGCGTACGCGTGGAGGCGGCGGCGTGTATACGTGTATACGTATATATATGTGTGTGTGTGTGTGTGTGTGTGCGCGTGTATATAGGCGGCGCGGCGTGCGAAGGGGACGAAAAACGCCGAAGTGCTCGATACCCCGGGGGTAAGGTGTACGCGGGAGGAGGTCGAAACGAAGCCGGCGGTGGAGCAGGCGACGCGCGCGCGAATAGGGTCGGAGGGATTCCCGGGGATCCTGTGCGAGTGGGGACCAAAACGGAATGAAAGTTGAATAACAATGTTCACTATTTATAGTAGTAGTGTGTTAAAACGAATTAAATTTTTTAGCGGCGGCACATGCGCGGCGGCCTAAGCGGGGTGGTGGCGGCGGCGGCGGTGTCACGGGGGGCGGCCGCTTTCGCGGAGGGCGCGCGGACGAATTTAATGATTTTTTTCTCTTTTGCTTTTATCCCCTTCACTCGTCCCGTCGCTGCCGCTCACTCGCACCCGCCGTCCCGCTCGCTCCGTCTCTCTCGCCACGTCGCCGGCGCGCTCTGCTGCTCCCTTATCAAGGGGTTGCCGCCTACTCCCCCGCTCGCCGGGCCACGGGAAGGGACGGAGGCCCGCGGCCGGGGCGGCGCGGAGCGCGCGTGAGGGGGATGGGGGGGGGAGAGCGCGCGCGGTGCGAATTCCGGTTACAAACGCCGCCGCGGCGCGCGGAGTGCCGAGCGGCGGCCGCGGCGGGGCGGGTGGGCGGACCGGGCCGGGTAGGCCGGGTGTGTGCGGCGGGCGGGGGGACCCACTCTCTCTCATTAAACTGTACGAATATGCAATTTTACTTTCTCGGTTTTTACCCCCTAGTAGTTTATTGCTAGTCATGTTTTTGAGTTGTCTATAGTTCCGCCGCGCGGGCTCTCGTCAACCGCATCATCTCCGTCGCAACCGCCGCGGGCACGCACGCGATTCGCACGCACTATAATACTCGTACTTTATGCTATACAACACTACTCGCGACATCGACCATCGACACCACACGCGGCCATCAATGCGACAACATTAATTTATTAATAATTATTTTTATTATTATTGTAATTATTATTTTTTTCGTTACGACGACTACGTGATTTTTGTTATTATTATTTGTTTGTTTTTTTTTCGTTCGTTTTTTTTTTTTTTTTTCTGTCCCCTTAAACACTCGCGACAACGTTACACGTGCGCGCGAATAATAACCGAACCGCCGATTTATAATAATTGATTAATTAATTAATTAATTAATTAATCGTTTTTAAATTAACGAACGAATTAATCGAGTTAATTACATTATATAAAGTTGTTACCGTTATTTTTCGTTTTCCGATTTCCCCCGTAAATCTGTGCGAAAACACATGTCGGTAACGCTCAGCATGCCTGCGGCGGCCGTGTGCCGGTCACCGACGACGATGACGACGACGGCGACGCGATCTCAGTCGAAAACAGGACAATAATTTACGTAGGTAAAAAAAAAAAAAAACCAAAAAAAAAACAAAAAAAAAAACCAAAACCGTAAAAACAATATTAATTGATTCGCGTAGCGGCAGCAGCGATTGTAGCAGTAGTAGTTGTAGTAGTAATAGTTGTGATAGTAACGGTAGTACGAATACATTTTGAAAATGTACAAATTTAACGGCAATTTAAATATTTACAATGCTATTGGTCTCGGGCGTTTGATTTTATAATTTTTAAATTCCAAAATATTGAAAATATTACCGCGTACATTATTATTGTTGTTGTTGTTATTATTATTATTATTGAGACTACCGGCAACGTCGTCGTTTCACGGTAAAAATAGTAAAATATCCATTGTAATACATTGTTCTAATGTTGTTGTTATTATTAATAATATTACAACAACAACGTAGTATAGTGGCGGCAAAATTCTCGCGTTATCACATTCGCGCTTACCGGGGCATTTTCGGATCGCGGTTACGGACCGCGCGCGGCGCGCTCGCGCGCGTCTACGTCGGCGGCACGCGTGTGTAATCGTCGTCGCGCGCGCGTGTGTGCGGCCGCCGCCGATTGAATGAATGGGCGCCCCTGTACACTGTCCCGTCGTCGTAGCCGCCACTGCCCCCCCCCCATCCGCGAGCGCGCGCACACAAACACGCGCCACACACACGCGCACACACACACGCGGGCGCGCGCGCGCGCGCGCCGGATCGCGTGTACATAATAATAATAATAATAACGCCGTATTATGCCCGTCGACACGCCGCCGCCTGCCCACCTGTTCGCCGCGAGACGGTTCGCGTGGTGACGACGACGACGGCGGCGACGGCGGCCGGTCGGCCGGCCGGCCGGCCGCCGCGGACGAAACGCGCGCGAAAAAGAGGACGACCCCCCCTCCCTCCCTCGGCCGCCCCCTGACGGTCGTCCGGCCCACGGCCGCCGTGATTCCCGACGCGGTCGTACGGTCACGCCGCCGCCGCGGAGATAACGTTACAATTTCGTTACGCGGCCGGCCCGGCGTCTCGGCGATGACCCGCGCGATTATCCCGCGACGACGACCGCGCGCCCGCGATCAACACGCACCGTTCCTCGCCCGCCCCGCCGCCGCCACTCACGGCGCCCGTGACGCCGCCGTCACCCGACACGCCCCCTCCGCCGCGGCTACCGTCTCGCGCGTCGTACAGTATGTGTGCGCGTGTGTTTTTCTTGCACGCGTGTTGTTTACACTATCGCCGCCGCCGTCGCCGTACGTTTTTTTTTTTTTCCTCTCGTGCCGCCGCCGCCACCGCCGCCCCGGGTGAATCGGCGAGTAGTAGCGGGAAAATACGCGGGAAAATACCCGGTCAACGCGTTCGGCGTGTTTCTGGTCGCGGGAGTTTTTTTCGCGTTTTCATAGACGACAGAAATACAAAAACAATCGACTGGGTATTATTGTGCACGGTCGTTTTCAGCGGACATGTCAATTAAATCGCCGTCACTGTTACATCGTAATATCAATTAGCTAAAAAAAAACAATAACAATGTGTTACGTCGGCGCGGTGGGTTTTTTTTCCCGGCCCGCGAAAACAGTGTTAATCGTTATTAATCGTTTAAATTTTTTACGAGCGCGTCGATAAAAAAAAAAAAATAATAATAATAATAACGTACACTTATTGTAATATTATAACATATACGAACGTGGATCATTTATTTGGCTGTTTGCCCGGACAGGCGGGACAGTGTCAGCCGAAGCCCGCCGCGTGATGGGCGACCTGCAGCATTTCTGCCTGCGCTGGAACAACTACCAGAACAGCATAACGACCGCGTTCGAGAACCTGAGGGACGACGAAGATTTCATCGACGTGACGTTGGCGTGCGACGGCAAGAGTCTCAAGGCCCACCGGGTGGTCTTGTCCGCGTGCAGCCCTTACTTCAGGGAGCTGTTGAAAGTGAGTGCACTCCCGGATATCGTACTGTTAATATTATTGTTAAGCCGCGGGTGATTTTTTCGACAATTATTATAATATAACCTTTCTCCCCTTCCGCCCCCCCTCCTCCGGCGGTCGCCGCGTGTTTTCCGACAGAGCACGCCGTGCAAACATCCCGTGATCGTGTTACAAGACGTCGTGTTCGACGACTTACAGGCGCTGGTCGAGTTCATCTACCACGGCGAAGTGAACGTGCACCAGAGGAACCTGAGTTCGTTCCTGAAAACGGCCGAAGTGCTCAGGGTCAGCGGTCTCACGCAACCCACCGACTCGTCCGCGAACGACGTGAGTCAAGTACAAAATTATTTTTATTCGAAATCCCGATCCTATACCTTGTCGTCTTGTCTATACATCGGGCCGTACCCGTGCCGCGCGTGTGTCCACAGCAGCATGCCGCGAGACAGTCTTCGGAGACGCCGCCGGCGGAAAACGCGTTCCTGTCACTAGCCACACAGGTGTCCGAGGGCAGGGTCTCGCCGCAGGTCAGACAGAGAAAAGGGCAATTCCCGCAACAATCGCCGTCGTCCATACCTTCGCCCCGGTCAAAGGTAAGTGGCTTTTTGTCGTATTACTTTTTTTTTTTTTTTATTCTGCACGTATAAGTAACGCGATCATTTGCAAAATGTTACGCGCGCGAAAGGTTTCGAGGGTTCTGTCGCATTACCCACGTCTCCCGCCGGATTCTAACGCGATTCCAATTTTCACCTAACGTTTTACTATAACGTGCATAGTGCGCGTATACCATAAGTTTTCGTCGGGTACCATCGTTACAATAACGTTTGTGTTTCAACATTTTCAAACGAACCCGTGTAAGACTATACAGAGCAATTCAGTTCGTTTGTAGTTTGCAACAATTAATCATCGTTGACGATTCTTAGCGAAGATTCATGTTTTGAAATTTTTATGGTTTTCCGTTAACATTTAAACTTAAAACGCTTATAAATAAAAAAAAAATACAAGGTACATTAAGTTTGACTTTTTTTTTTTGTACTGCCAAGTACAACTGTCAACTATAACGGTGAAGCCCGCGTAGAATTTCCGAGTATTTTCACAGGGCCAAACAATTAATTTAATTCTTTTGTAATTATAAATTATAATAAATTCTGAACAAATGTCAATTTACATTCATCTAAACAGTTAAAACAATAACAATGACAATGCAAAGTTTTTTTTTATTTTTTGCGAGACAAATAATAATAAATTAATATTTGTACTGTTATCATTTCGATAAACTTATTTTTATTGCTATACTTCGAATAATTTATTAGGCATGGTAATAAGAAAAAACCGATTTCGTCCATTCACTAAAAATATTACCTTCTAAGCGATAAAAATATTTCACATTTGTCAAGTGTTCGAGAATAAAGTACTCCGGAAAATGCATGGGGGCTTAGTTAAATGCTCAGACGGGCGAATGAAGGAAATAACAACGACGAACTGCGCAAATCTTTTTTCAGCGACCAGGTATACCGAATAAGGAGATTAATAAAATACGATTGAACTGTGCAGGACATGCTTGGAGGAAGTTCGATTCTTTAATAAAAAAAAAAAAAGCCATAATTTCGGAAGAATCAATAGGGAAGAGAACTCTTAGGAGATCACGATTAGGGTGGTAAAACCGCGTTAAAAGGATCTAAGGATAGTGCAACCAAATAGCCAGTTGTGAGGGGAGGAATTTTCAGAATAGAGAGATAGCTATGGCAATGTGTTTATTCGACGGGCCATTCCTGAATGGACCAATAGAGAAGTAGAGAAGAAGAGAGATTGTATACTAGGTTAAAATATAATCCGTCGGCTTATAGTGACGTCAGTCATTGGTCTCGATTTTCCGGGTGCGGAGAAATTTTTACACATTTTACCTATATTATTGGTCCCCGAGATACATTTTTTTTAATTTTTCAACGGTGCGAAACGATTTGTTTCTGAGAAGATATTATTATACACACACACATAGATTATACGAAGTAATTTTGATACGGCGATCAAAAAACAATCCGTCCGAAACAAAACCGATGTCGAACTTTTTCCCAAAAACGTTTTCGTATGTTAATTTTTTCTCCGGTACTTATCGGAGTTAATTACGCGTACAAAATTGATGTCTCTATACACATATCTGTTGAGTTTATACACCTAATATGAAAAACGAGCTTCAAAAGGAATTCAAAAATATCTATGTACAAAGAAAATGTATGTATTATCGTTTGTACTTCATAATACGAGTATACATAGATATATTGCAAATACCTAACCTAACCTTATGATAGTCAATACGTATAGTGAAATCGGTTTATTTTTGTTTTTTTTTTTTAGATTCTGGGCTAAGCGAGGAACGTATCGGTTTTACTACGATGCGTTTTGTTTGTGTGTGTGTGTGTGTATGTAAATAAATCTTAGTCTAATCGAAAACCTTTTTAAGAATTTTCGATCAAGTTGTGGTGCACTGGGGAAGTCATTTTTTTTTGATTTTCCTCGTAATATCCAGAAAAACCGTATTATTCGGTGAACCGGAAACACCGGCAAAATTCGTTGATTTATGCGTAGCCTTGACAACGAGGGGAAAAATGACGACCTATTATAATTCTACGCACACAATCGTTTTTCGTTCGCGATATCCTTCAGACTTTCGTCCTTACACCGCGGCACACCCATCGGTGGAATCGGTATTTGTTTTTTTTTTTCCGGTTTTTTGTTTTCGGTGATCTCTCGCGTAGTTAATATCGTATTAATAGCACAAAAAATAATACGAAAAACGCAAACCCCTGACTTCTAATTTCTTCCAACTCGGATAGTTCTCCGTTTCTGACGTTTTAAAAATATTTTGTCCGCTATGGTATAGCGAACGGCTGACTTATATTGCGACTACTGTAACTGTGTAAATTTAAGACGCACCACTCGCATGAGATCGGTTTCCAATGCACTATGAACTCCTCCATCGATTACATGTTTTTTAATATGATTCAATAAAATGCTAATTTTGCCATTATTTGGTGTCATCGGCCCCGGTCTGTGGGGCGGTCGCAACATGTCGACGTTATCGCCCACAAAATTGCGGTCGTCGGTGGTCGAATGCAACGCACCGAGTGCGACCCGCCAATCAATTTCCGACCACTCGCCGCCGATCGTGACATTTTGTTTATCGTCGTTATCTTATTATCTCGCCGCTGTCTTTTACGATTGCATTCGTCTGTTTTTATTTGTTGATAATTTATTAACTGCAGCAGGTTAACTGTCACGTGTATCCAGCGGCTATTTTTTCCGATATTCCGTAGTCCACATTTTTTTCAACGGCGTACCCGTGAGGAAGCGATAGCGGCGGTCACCCTCACACCCCCACCCCCCCCACNCCCCCCCCCCCCCCCCCCCCCCCCCCCCCGTGGTCCGTACAATGTAGTTTGACTCAAAAGTGCACGCATTTATTTTTCGTAGTGCGCCCAAAAACAAGCCACCGCGTGTGCCGTGTACACCGTACGCGTAGTGTTGTCAAGCAACGCGTACCGATCAATCGCAATGTTCGTCCGTCGGGCCAAACCAAAATAACCATAAATAAAATTAACAGTAACCGGAGAATAACGACGGTCAACCGTTGTCGACATGGCCTTCTAAAACATTACACTAGGAGGACGCGCAAACGTCTCTTAAACGGGACAATCGCACGTACGCGTACCCGTCGAAATGCGCGCTGTCACGCCGTGTTGTCGAGAACTCGAGCGCACCGTGAACGGTACGTGCGCAGCACGGAAACGACGTTCAGCCGGTGGTTACCGCGCGGTAATTCGATAAGCATTAAAAAATACCGCGCCGGCCGCAGTTAACCGGTTGGCGACCGTTCGCGCCGTGTGGTCCGTGCGAGTTATTCGTCCGTGGACACCGTGGTGCCGACGGGCGGCAGGTCCGGAAGAAACCGCCGCCGCCGCCGCCCGTAAAACGCGCGACATCCGACAACAATACCGTCCGGATCGTCGTTTGCCGGCGGCGAGCAACGGGTGCGCGGGAGAGGGCAATTTGCGTCCCGGCGCGTAATCGGTTTACGCGATGTCGCCGCGCGCGGAGGACGCGGGTCATCGGCGTCACATAAAAAGGCCGACCCTTTAATCGCGTTTGCAGATAGACGGCCGAAAACGGTTTACGGTTTCAAAGGGGACCAGAATGTCCCGGGAAATCGACCGTTTCGATAGTAACAAAATGGGTATCTAACGCACGACGCGATACGGCGTACGATTCGCCGTCCGGAGTCGGAAGAGGGAAATATTTGGAAAACCGCGCGGCGACTCCGTCTGCGCCGCTGCACGTGAACCCTCGACGGCCGGGACCGTGAAAAGCTTAACCGTGAAAGCGTACGGTTTTCAGGGACGTCCGGAAGGAAACGCGTGTGCTTTACTTTCGCTCGTTTGAAAACGAGACCGCGCGTCCGGGTACAACGTCCTCCTCCGCCGCCGCCGCCGCCGTACGTACAGGGCGATTGTTATGTCGCGAAAAACGCTTTCGTGGAAAAACTTTACTTCGACGTTTTTACACGATACCGATAAAATCACCATTTCGCGTTTAAAATAATGCAATATAAACGTACCGATACGCACTGTTTGTGGTACTATAGGTTATTACGAGTTATTTTTCGAACCGGTTCCTGTAACCTATAGCGATAATATAATGATTGTGATTGCACTTAGTACTTCCGTCTATCGCGGCCCGTTTACCAGTACGGACGATTTGATTCGATTATAATCGATAACGGTTAAGACGAGAGATGTAAAATAATATTTATTTTTTTTTTTTCGTACTTATTTATTTAATTTAATTTTAAAAATATAATCTCTTCCGATTTCTTTGATCGCGTGACAATAAAAATATTTTTTTTTTTTATATTTGTCGTGTTGGAGATAATTTGACGAAAATATTTTGTACTGGAGGTATTTTGACGTAAAACGCTTTATCGCGTGAACCCGCGCCGACCGACGTTGCGGACGTCTCGGGCAAATCGGTTTTATCTCACGTCATTTTGCGTACGGATGTTCAATACAATTATATAAAAAAACACACTTGTTGTTTAAAAATAAAAACACTGGAGCACGGTGCTATAAAAAATATATCATTTTTTGAAAAAAAAATTCCTGTGCTTGCGTGGTAGTAGATATTTATTGCCGCCTTCATATCATGTTTAAGATGCTAAAATTGTGCAGTTATAGTTGGTAGAACCGTTAAAAATATTACCCGTTGTCTTTAAATTAACAAAAACTGTTAACAAACATTCATCATATTATAATCGTGTTGAAGAAAAATCCTGTACTTCAAAGGGTTTAAATATTTTTCCGAAATTTCACCCTTATTCCGTGACATAAACGCATAATATTATCCAGTGGCTCGACTAGGGGGGGGGGGGTTATAGGGAGTTTAGCCTCTCTGGATAGTGTTAGATCCCCTATCCAAAGCAGACGCAGAACACCGCGCGTTTATTTAACTTTATGATGACGCTTAAGTCTCCCTCCTCCCCCAAATATTATCGACCGTTGATTTTCAAATAACAACTCTGCATTTTTATTTAAATTCCGCGATTTCAGAAGACTTTTTCAAAAATGTCGACGTGACACCATAAAATACCGCGGATATTCTGTTTATAAACTAAAAGTCGATGTACGCTTTCACGTTTTATAATTTATGACTGTATACATACGCGGCATCTGAGAAAAAATTTCCCGGGGTAGTCATTTTCGAGAAAGATAAAAAATCCGTATGACATAAGTAGATGGTACAATAAGTAATTTTTCATTTCAATACACATTGTTCGACTTCAGTTTGGACGCCTTCTTTTCCCCCGATATAGCCTCACTAACGCGGAATTACGGTGAAAGTTCGAAAACATTTCGAAATAATCGAACTCGAACACCCGAATTGACTCGAAATCTCCGTAGATAATCAAAAAGTTCTCGGTGTCATACACGCGTGGCAGGCAAATCAAGCGAATACATTTGCTTATAAATGGCGACAGCGAGGGCCTCGCCTCTCATCAACTTTTAAATTCGCCACCGATGAATATACAACGTTTTGTAAGCGGTAAACGGCCATTAAAGATATAATATATCAAAAATCGGTGTCCGTTAAAAAAACAAAAAACAATATTAGAAAAATTCAAATGTCACGCCGAATCTTCCCCTCTCTCCCGTGTTTTTAAACGAAAAACGCGCGGGGTAAATTACTCGTGAAAAAAAATAAGACAATATATTATTACGACGGTTAAATTTGCAATCGGAAAATACTAAAACCGAAAAAATCACCGTTATACATATTTATATATAAATATAGTACCTAAATAAGACGTATCCATTTATACAAACGGGGAATCGAGAATCGACGGCATTCGTATTTACTATTGTATACGTATATTCTGCTTCCCCACCCCCTCCCTGTATCGCCTATGGTGGTGTTATAATATTCACCCTGTATGTATGTAAAACGAGACAGTTACGAATAATCGAAACGTTTTTTTTTTTTTTTTTCCGCGTAATATGATAATAATAATAAAAAAAAAAAAAAAACTACACGTTACGGGTCGTTGTCACGCGGGTTTATGCGAGGGGTAAAAAAAAAAAACACGAAAATACACATGTTGATGCGGTGGCGGCTGCGGCAAAGAAGAGACGGTTCCGCGTGTAAATTGAATACCGCCGCGGAGGCGAGGGGAAAAAAAACGGTTTAGCGAACGGAGAGCAATAATAATAATAGTAAAAAATAAAAGCGAAAATCCGCGAGAGAACAACTACCGGGAAAACGTCGAAAAAAGTCGTGCCCGTAACAGAGTGCCGGTGTGAAGCCCGTTTTCTTTTGTTTCTTCTGTATGTTTTTTATTTTTATGATGTGTTTTCGCGAGTTCTCTTTACTGTCGAAATCTTGGTAAACGCGGAAGGGGAAGAAAAAAAAAAACGAAACTTCTTAATTATTATTTCCTCGTTTGCGTTCCGCCGTAACCTCGCGCGACCGACGCGACGCCCGACGGCCGAAGCAGAACTGCAGTACGTGTATCCGTCCGAACCGCATCGTCGTGCGGCGGGATTTCGTCGAGCGTACCGTTTTTTTCCCGTTAAGTTTTATCGGTTTTTTTTATCCGGAAACTGCGTTAACGTTATTATTGTTATTTGATCGATTCCCCGACGGCTGCAACACCTCCACGACAAAATATTTCGCTAAACGCCACTTCCGTCCGTTTATATATATTTTTTTTTTCGCCGTTCATTTATCGAGCGTATCCGCGCGTCATAATATTCACAATAACACCGTTTGGTTAAAACACACGCGAGATTATGCCGACCGACTTTTAGTTCTCAAAACGAATTGATTTATAATTCGTAGTTTTTTTGTTTTAGATTCCGTGTGGGCCGAAGAAACTTATCACTAATGATGTTTATTATTTTTTTTTGTTCTGTTGGCAACTTTTCTACGAGCAATTTCCCTAAGATTTTCAATGATAGCAATTTTTCCTGAAAGGCAATCGGACTGGGGAGGTACTTTAAGGTGGTAGTTTTTTGATTTTCCCAAGAATTCTTTTTAACAAACGGAAAAATAGATAGATACAATATTAAACAAATATTATATATTGTTGAAATAGCAACACGTTCGACCGAACTCCGCTCCACAATCATTTTCTCGTTAACTATTGGTTTATCGTTATTGCTTACAGATACACATTAAATCACCTAAAACTGTGGCTGCGCCCGTCCCCAGGACAGCTTTTTTTTTTTTTCGTTCTCGGGCCGCGTCGTGCTGATTTCGATTCTGTCGACGGTTTACTGAAACTTTGCGCTCGCAACAGAGGCGTTTTTTGTTTTATTTTTCGAAACGCGACTTTTCGACTGTTGACTGAACGCGCGATTTATATCGGCCGGCACGTGACCATTTCACGTATTTCGCGGTGGTTAGCGGCGCAAATCCCTCGAAACTTTCACACCGCGGTGTTAAACGGCGTAAATTTTCCGACCGCCGCGACACGTTACATCCAAAATGGGGTTTTTCGATCGGATACCGGACAGATTTTCGGGAAGGGGAAGAGGGGGGGAGCAAATAACCGTACGCACCGGTTTCGGGGAACAATTTGTCGTGTAGTGCCGTCTTGCGAACTTTTCGTGTTCCGGGTCCCGGTAAGCGGAGGGGGAAAAAAAACAAATTAAACCTGCGGTAGAAGATTAAACGATCAGAATCGTGTTTTGTTTGCAACGATTTGTCGAACGCCGTTACGTCACAGACAGGAAGTTTTTCGCGGGTGTTCGCCGTCCGACAGTACTAAAATGTCGAGCACATTCCAATGTGTTATATTGTTATACTCGTAATATTCCCGCGCGCAAAATATTATACAGTACGCACTTAAAATCTACAGAAAAACCGCTTAAAACCGTCAAAAAAACCCTAAAATTATTTGAAAAACTAGAAACAGTAAAGGAATTTGAAACTCCCCCTCTCCGAACTTTCTTCGACATTAATTTTCTGATACTACAAGAATAATGAACAAAAGTAATTTTTTTTCGAATAAAATTGTACGTATTATAGGAAAAAAAATTAAAAAAATACTTAATGTTGGTCAATTTTTTTATAGCTGCTTTTTAAAATGTTTTTTATAAGCGATTATTCAGCGTATTTTTGCCGACAAAAATAATTTTTTTTTTCGCGGACTATAAGCGCATATCCGTTCCCTAATAATAATTCTATAAACAAGTATAGCCGGACGCATATAATTATTATTCGAAACGATACATTACATGGAACTCCAGCATTTAGAAAAGCAAAATTTTAGAAAAACTGTAATTTTCAAAGTGAAATTTAAAACGGCAAAATTTGAAATGGCCAAATCTGGAACGAAAATAAAAACTCGATCGGCAACATTTGAAATCGGTGTTTTTCTTTTTCGTCATTACAGAATTTACCGTTTTAGTTTTGGATTTCGTTCAGAATTCGGCCGTTTCAAATTTTATATCTTCCAGATTTCGTTATTCCAGATAATGGCGTCTCCCTCCCCTATTAACTATGCACAGTTTTTTTTTTTTTTTTTTTTTTTTGAGAAAATTAAACCGAAACTTTGTCCCGCAGGAAAACTCTCCGATACCGTTGAAGCGCAACAAGATCCTGACGAACCCGTCCCCGGGCGGCCTAATAGGCGGCGGGTGTATCGGAGGCGGCGGCGGCGGCTGTATGGATCTGTCCGAACGGTCGTCACAGCACAGTCCCAGTTCGGCGGGCAGCAGGCCCAACTGCAACGACGACGACGACGCGGGCGATAAATCCGACGGCGGCGGCAGCAGCGGCTGCATCGGCATCGGCGGCAACTTCCCGATGAGCGGAATCGGATGCATCGGCAGCGGCAACGGCACCAACGGCCATCATCTCATCGACGAACCGCCCATGGACTATTCGCGGACGCACCATCAGCACCAGCAGCAGCCGACCGCCGCGCACCTGCAGCAGGACACCGCGCAAAACCTCATGGTTTCGTCGCGCAAATCGCCCGCCGATGTCAAGTCCGAGCCGATGGACGCCACGTCCGCCACGGCCGTCAACAGCGGCAGCGCGTACGGCGCGGACGACAGCAACGACTCGGCGGCCGACTTTACCGGCGTCCACCCGGCCATCGGCATGTCCGAACCGGACGACACGTCGTACCAGAGCCATCACTCGTACCTGGACAGCAAGTTCTACGCGGCCGCCGGCGCCACGTTAAACTTCAACATAGCCGCCGCGATGGCCGACTCGTTGGCAGGCAAGTGTTTCATATTATTATTATTAATATTTTAGTCGTATTTAGCTTGGTTAGTTCAACGAGACAAGGATGGATAACGGGAGACGATAATGGGGGTCAAAAACTAAAAACTAACGTTGTTTAGGAGTTTAAAATTGAAAAAAAAAATGCACACAGTTCTGTTCGCGAGTGTAAAACATCTCGGATCGGCCGAGGATATCAAGGTTTTTTCTTTTTTTCGAAATCTATAGATATTTGGCCAGATATTTCCCGAGAACTCCGAAAATTACTTTGGAATATTAAAAACAAAAACAAACTTTCTTAATTTCGATCGTTTTTAATGGATATATCGGTTGATTTCAATATCGATTCGTGGTTTTTAATTTCAAATTTACCTATAGATACACAAATACCTAATAGAAATATAAAACAACTAGAAAGCCCAAGGTAGGGGTTGAACGGTTGATGGTTCAAACTCTCCCCCCCCCCAATTAAATTTTTCAAAACTATTGTTTATTATTTTAAAAATAAACGCTAATTATACGTATAGCAAAATTATAATCGACGATTCAATTTGATATAACTCCTAACCCTCTCGAGTATCCGACTTCGTGGGAAGCCTGGCAGCCTTATGTCCATAAACAAAGTGGGTAGAGGAAAATTTGATTGATTAACCCATGAAATATTTGTTAAAGTCATGAATTATGTTATAATATGAAAAATAATATTTCACATTGTTTCTAGCAAAGTCACCTCCGGTTTCTCTTGCATCACATCGTTTATTCATGACGTAAATGTATAATAAATTATCTGTTGGTTATTTAATACAATTTTTCCTCGTCAAGCATGCGAAAAATGTCGGCGAAGGGTTCATACTGAGCCATTTGACGCCCGAGGCGTCGATTTCGAAACTACCCCTCTTAAGATATAACTCGGAGTTGATTTATGGGGGTTAATCCCCCTAAATTTGTTGTTTTTTTTAATTGTATTCAATTTATTTTGAAATTTCAACATTTTGCCTCTACCAAATAAGATTCTTCCTTACTTCTGAATTTTTTCTTGGTGCATGTAATATTACGTTTCCAGGTTATACTTGCGCTTTTATAATTACTAAACAATACTCGTTATTATTCTAAGCCAAGCGTTTGAAATTAAAACAAATAACAACCGACGTAATAATAAATTGTATTTATTAATTTTATTTGGAATTTTATACTAAGCCGCGCGCTCTATAGTTTTAGAAAAGCGCACTATTTCCTCCTCCCTTCTTTAACACGGTTCTGATTCATAAGAAACAAGACTGACATACTTCGCGCGATGGGTTGGTCACTGTTGTAGGTGAGAAGTTAGGAAGGTATAAGATATAGAGGGGAATATAATTTATATTTGTACACAACGATGATGAACCATTGATAACGATAAACGTTTTTTCTCAATTATTATTGGAATCGCTTGAAAAATCTGAAAACGGCCCACTTTAAAGTGCCAAGTAGATAAAATTTCCTTTTAGAAAAAGTGCTACATTAGTTACATCAGAGTAAGATTTCTAGTAAAAAAGTCGCTCAAGAAATAGGATTAAAAAGTCATTCATTGTAAAACCATCGTGCCAAACATTCTTCGTTACGCCCCGAATCTAAAAAAAATTAAAAATGTAGAACCGCATGGTCGAACCCTGACCATCGCTGTCACTGGCCTTCTTAGTATATACGGCTGTCAAGCCTACACTTCACAACAATATCACTTACGAGACTCTATATCGCCTGCAGTGTTGGTTTACACAAATGTCGGATCGGTTGTCGCGGTTTCGCCAAAACCTAAAAAATCGGATTGTCGGCGGCGAAAAAACCGTCATAACAGACGTGGGTTATGAACGGCGTCCGCGTTCGCGACAAAATTTCCCGACGCGTTCGCAAGTGCGCGGGCGCAAAACGTGTGCTATTTTTATTTACTTCATTTTTTTTTTTTATTATTTCATTTTTTTTTTTTTTAAATATCTCGGGCGATCGACCGCGGCGACCGGTTTACAGCCGGAGGAATTCCGTAGGTGAAAATTTTGCTCGGTTTGCGCACCGAGAGCCGGCTCGGTCTCCACACGACTACGGCGAATAATAATAATAATAATAATAATCATGAAAAAAAAAAAAACAGCGAATTTATCTACAAAACGTCTAGCGCGCGCGTGTGGGCAACACCGGTCCGTTTTTATTTTCTAATAATAATATATTATACATACGAACAGTATTAATACGATACCTATAATAGGTTGTATGGTCGTGCGTATATTATACACACATAGGTACCGCCTAACCTTAGCTAGGTAATAAAATACGATACTACAGTGTGTGTGTGTGTGTGTGTGTGTTTTGCGCCGTGTTAGAACCGGATTTCTATTTTATTTTATTTTTTTATTTCGCTGTCGAGCGGTGAAAATTCGCAAACCGAAATCGCCCGTATCCATATAAAACGCAATCGAGAAATTATACGAACAGTATTTATTTATAGACAAATTTATTATAATTCGATTCGCGAATATTATTATAATATATTTTTCGCGGCGTTGCCGGTATTATACGTAGGTATATAGACGAGATAGAATCTCTTACTTTTCTTTTTGCTTACACTCCGTCCGTCCGTCCGTCTCGTCGGTGCACCTATTGAAATAATGTTATTACGTCGGACGTATGCGCGAGTGTAGGTCGTCTACGATTGGGTGTTTTTTTTTTTTGTTTTTAAATTTTTTAAATTTTTCGCGAAAGGGGTTATCGTCGAAACACGCTCCGGTCGCGTTCGGATAATAGGCCGAAAGGTCGTTCGCGCACGTTGTTATAATTTTTTCCGTTATCTATTAGCCGCAATCTATTCCGGAACGCAAGGGTTAATTATTTATTAATACTATTATCATTATTATTATTATTATTATTGTGTCAGTATATTTCCACGGTCAACTGTATGCTTACAGATAACGGGAAAAGGTCCTCGTGGTCTAGGAAAAAGCAACAAAAAAATATAAAAAATAATGCGCGCGGAACGACGATAACGGAAAGTCATTTTTTTTTTTTTTAACCGATAAGCGCGTTTGTTTAGTCGCGAAGAAAAGGTACAAAGTATAATACAAACCTATACATATTATGAACTGTTTTACCGTCGTAATGATGCGTGCACACCTGTTATTTGTACGCGCATTATTTATTTATGTACAAGAAAAATGTCACGGGCGAAAAGAGCCCGTCTACAGGGAAATATAAATGATAGCAAAGGACAATAAGCTATACGCGTACGAACATGCTTGTACTATATTGAACGCAATAGATCCAGAACAATGGTGAAACGAAAGAAAAGTAATCGGACTGTAAACGACGGGTTTTCAGTGGCAATAAGCCTCGACAATCGGGTGAAGGGAGAATTATTAGACAAAGACGTAAAAATTCGGTGGAATGAGTACAGGGATTTCGGAGCTAACTTTTGCAAGCAGACTACGGTAATCGGTGGAGTTAGACAGCAGTCTAGAAAGGAATGGACGGTTAACCGTGAGTTTACGATCCGCGAGACTAGATAAACCCAGTACTCGACCTATTGATGTGTAGTCATGGGGCGGACTTGAGATGTTAAGAGTGAAGGAAGCGCCATGAACAAATATTCTCTGCGCCCGTTCAATCATATGACTGTAGTAAGAGGTATACGAGGTTCCTGATTTCGGGACCACACTCTAGCGTAGGTCTGACGAGGGAGCCGTAGAGGGTTTTAATAGCGGCAGCAAGCTTAAATAGACTCGCGATTATTAATAAAATCTCAATCTTTGGAGCAAATGTGCAGAACTGAAATTATAGTTATACTACGAGAAAAACCCAAGGACGAGAACAGACACATAGGTGCGAGGAATAATAGCTTCGTGAATGGTATAAGCGAAATTAGGTTGATTAAAACGGAGATGATAACGGAAATTAATTTTTGTTTTGTTTTTTTTTTTTTTACCCGATAAGCGTGCTTATTTATTAGCAGAGAAAAGGTACAAAGTGTATATATATAATATACATTTTTTTACAGTCGTCATGATTCGTGTACACCTATTATTTGTACGTGCGTTGTATATATCGCGCGATCGTATCTCGAAAATCGAGGGCTGTGGGACGCTCCTGTGTTTTTGTCAATTACGCCGAATGTGGCTAACTACCGGTATTACATACGTCTATTGCGAAAAAAATATTCTAAAAAGATATAGATCATTTGCGCCGGACGATTTTCGAAAGACTAAAATGGCATGTTCATTTAGGTACATCAATTGCGCCGTTATATAATACATAATTACTAAAATTATCTTATGTTTTTATATATTTATATCTTAACAAAGAATTAATATTTGTCCAAATTTTGATTCATTCTCGTATAACGGTAAAAATAACGTTTTTCCAAACCGTACCTATACAAGAAAAACGATTCGAACGCATTTCGACCAATTGTTAATAAAAGTATATATTATGCATTTTAGATTCTGAATGAAGCGAGGAATGTTACACGGTTACGAGCTTTTACAATGGTGTTTTTTTTGTTTATCTACAAAACTTCGCTCCGATTCTCAAGTGTAGCACTTTTTCTGAAAGAAAATCTGACATATCAGTCAAATTTTAAGTACGTTAAGCAAGTCATTTTTTGATTTCCCTAGGAGTTTTCATAATAAATGGGGAAAAACATAGAAAAAACGGGAACATGTACGAAATGTATTATTTTAAAATCGTAAATATTACAGCCTATTAAAATATATGTATAACCGAACTCTGCTCAAAATAATTTTTCGTTAGCAATGGTTATTCTTTGCATATAGATATACATTAAATTTTCCCTCTGGCTTCCCAACTTCTTACCTACAACAGTGGCTCACCCATATTGTAAAGTATTTTTTTTTATTGTTTTACATACCCGTTTAAAAATTGACATAGTTGACATATCATAACGATTCATTATATTCGAATATCGATCGGCGCAGTTTCTTCTAACCCTAATATATTGTGTTTTGTACCCACGATTTTCGGCGCAATTGATGTATATCCTCGATTATCCTTCCTAACTTCCAAAAAAAGCCAGTGCGGTAATTATGTGTTTGGGCCTTTATATATTATGCATTTGATGGTATTAAACTAAAAGTCAGTAATAATTATAATACAGTGCAGTACTCAGTAAACTTAAATCGTCACGTTAATAAATTTAGACCGTTTGTTTAAACATTTTAATCCCCCCCTCTCTCAATGTTTCAGTGCATTTTCATCATTAAAAATAATACATGTGTCCAATAATCTCGAACAAATTTACCCGTTCGAATTTTTAGTTAAATGTATGTTATACCCTGCAACGGTTCGTGATACGTAGAAAAATCGTGAACCCCGAATTTTCATTTACAAAATTAGCTGATGATAAACTGTACACTGTATATACGATTGCTAATAATGGAATATCTACAATCTACATAATATATTTATGTAAACTATATAATATCATACGCATAATCGCTAAGTATCGAACAGTATTATCTATATAACTTTATCATTAATAAAATATACCATAAGAGAAAATAATGAACTCTCTCCGCAAGCGTGTCCCTAGGGGAATCGAAGTAGGAGCAATCGCTCCCTCCATATTCCATATTATAATAACTACCGTTCTTAAGATTCCCTGTCCTCCCCACGATTACCCTCTAGTTAACAAGGCGCTTTCGACAGGCAACCTATCGGACTACAGGCACAAGGCGTCCCTTTTACTCTTTTCAAACCACATATTCTCTGGTGAGATGGATTGTCCTTTCATACTATCCCTTGTCAATTTTTACTTCCCTTCTTATTACACCAAATCCATTGATGGCGTATAAGAATGATTATAAGGATTATAAGGACGATGCGTTCCACAAACAGGGACTCATCATTCATTTTCAAGTTTCTGTAATCACATTGCCTTGAGTAACATTATACTGAAAATGTTTTTCCTGTTTGTTGAACGTCTGCCCGTAATTCTAAAATAAATAAACTATCACAAATCGTTCAGCTATCTGTTATTATCCGCCTAAGAATTTTGAAGTCCTAATTCGGATATTTTAATATTTCGACCTCTCACCCCTCCCCCACCTTCTTACTTCAAGGGATTTGACCCGAAAACGCCCCTGTTTTTCCACACATAAGCGATAACTGTATATTATAACATTTATCAATTTATCACCGTATTATATTCGTTGGGCAACCGTTCCATTCTATTATACTACAAGAGCATATATTGGGTATTACAATATTTTATACTGCGCCGCGAGATTATGTATATTTTGGTGTCAGATATCGTTTTAAAGGTCGACGGTGTCCTGGGGCGCGTGTGAATTACACTTTAAGCGGACGGGGTTGAACACGGCGAATTAACAATCGGTATTAACGAGATGATATGACGATGATGATTATGTACACAAAGGCGCATTGATCTCGCGGTGTTACGCCAGTATAATAGTACACTATATAATGTATAATATAACAGTGTAGTAATACAATACGCGAAATTAAATTCGTTTATTTTTGGATGTAAATATATAGAATCTACAACTATATAATAATACTGTCACACGTTAGAAAAAAACAAACAAACATACAAATAAACTAACGATGTACCGTACGTTCGCGCGATAAAATTCGTACTGTTTTATTTAATTCATATACGGATCCATAAGTCCAAAGTCCAATTGCCTGCTGCAGTACCGTAACCAGAAAAAAATTTCGGGGGTAAAAGCGGGGACAAAAATAATGTGTATTACAATCTAAAACGATCAGACCGATTTAAATACAGCAAAATAATCTTTAAAATTCGTATAAACTGTTTAAAAAAGGATCTGTGTATTGTTTGCTTGGTAATTATTTTGACACGCGGTTAATTGTGGCGAGTTATATAAATATTGAAAAAGTGATGTATAAAGTCGGGGTATAAAAAATCGTACATTGCGTGGGTTTCGTTTGTATACGATGTCTATGTACTAAAATTAATCATTAAGATGACGGCTTTACAAATTTTCTCCAACTTGGAAAAATTTGAAAATCTGTTTTTAACATTTTAATAACCGCCTGAAAGATAAAATTCGTCTGACTTCGTGGGAATAGGGATAACACATTGTCAACGTACAATTTTCCTATACCATTGTTATGATACCATTGAGTTGATAAACAACTCCATCAAATTCTGCACACCTCATCAAACTCCGATTTTTCATTTGATACCAATAGGATAAACAAACAAGACGTATTATCAAGTTCGAAATGAAAATATTGACAAACATAGTTCAACGCGGTCTTCAGAAAGTCTTCTTCTTTGCAAAAAAATAAAATAACAATGATAATCGAATAGAACACTCTGAGGGACGTGGGGGTTTTTCCCGCAAGACGCGTATTTGAGCCAAAAACCGCGCTAGTTTTTTAATAATAATTCCGAACTAGAAACATATACTGAACGGAAATATAGTTGATGGGGTGATCAAGGAGATTAATTATGTTCGAAAAACATAACCGAACACGAGAACATTAAAACATTTAAAAACGTTTTTACAATTATCGCAACGTAATAAAATTGATTGTGCAATGCCGTCTATATCCATACAATATCTATATGTTCGGTTTTTTTTTCTGTTTATACAGGTCTAAACAATCACAACCACATAAACGTCATGGAGACTCTAGGAGGCTCCAGTTCTCAAGGTAAGAACACATTACTCGTATACTAAATATATATATATATATATCATGTAAGTTCGTCACTATACATTATCACGTTTTCGATGGGTTTTTTTTTTACCGCATAATACATAATATATTATAATATTCGTCCCGTACGATCCTACACGATCGTCGCGCATTATGTCAGAACCTGGTTTAGTTTGAGTGCGTTTGTTGTTGTTTTTTTTTTTTTTTATCACACTAAAATCCTATTAGTGGTACCTATTACTAATGATGTTACGAACTGTTCAATTGAAATTCGCCAATAATTGAACCGGACTGAATAGAGAACCGGTGAAATTAATTTTGTTGAAAAATTACGCGAAAACTGAACGAAATTAATTTTGGTTTATTAATGCATTGGGTATTGTTTTTACTCCGGACGGCCTACAAAAAATGTGCTGTACAGAGGAGGAATATGTTCTGGGAGGGGGAACTATTACAAAAAACACTATTTTTCTGCTTTGAATATGATACTGACTGTTTAAATTCAATTGGACTTTTGATTGAGAATCTTAAGGTACGGTTTTTTTTTCGGTTATGGGGAAACCATTAAATTTGTTTTCGGAAAATAATAAATCGTATATGATTGTTTTTTTTTAATTTAAACTTAACTTGAAATTGCCTATACATATTTATATTAAAAAAAAAATAATAATAAAAACGGTTCTGGAAGTGATCTATTCTACATTATCTCCCTGTGATAACGCCACTGGTGCTATGCACTTACCGTTTTTTCAGTGCCATCAAATCGCAGAAATAGCTTTTACGATGTTAATGTTTTTCTCAATAGTACAACATATTATTATACATTTTTCGAACGCTTAAAACCTTATAATTTTTTTTTTTTTTTTTACATTACGATAACATATTTTAATATTTAGATTCGGGTTCGTTAATTTAAAGAGAAGTTCGGTTCGGGTAAGGTTTGACTTCGAAAATCACGGTTCGTAACCTCATTTAGTACCTAGGTATCTAATGTACGTTCGTCGTGTACGTTTAGGACGAAATTTTTTCTCTTTCGGGGAAAAAAAAACGACCGCTTGTATAAGTCGAAACGGTGTATCCTATACGACAATAATATTGTGTAAACGTAACGTATATATCGGTAAACACGGTATTTTCACGGATAGAACACTGTTTACAAAATTAACGTCTACCTATACAGGATACATTGTTATTATTATTATACGCGAACAAAGTTAGAACAATTAAGTACGTTGTTGCAGTTTATTAAGTGCCTTCTATATACCCCGACTACCTAAACATACGGTATTATACTATAGTTGTTTCGCGCGTGTATGTATATAATGTAGAAGAGATGAGAAAAGGCTTAAAAAAAAAAAAAAAACGATAGCGTTTTACACGCACACGCACGTGCCTAAGTAAAACAGCCATGTTTTCAATCGCGTTGGTTTTTCTGCGAGCCTTTTAACAACAACTTAAACTGGTGTTCGTTTTCCCTACCCCCTGTCACATTTAAACGTTAAACCTAGTCATCTAGCGAAACTTAACCGTATCGCACTCTCGTATATTAATAACCGCTTCTGTATACATGTACTTCGAAAACAATAGGTCAGAAATACGTATTTTTTTTTCTTGCAAAATCTCTAATTTTTTTTCGAAATTGATAATCGATTGTCACTTGTTAAGTTTGTTCCACCGATGCCAAAGTATCGACACAAGTAACTTAACCTAATCTACAAAAAGTACCAACTTTTTACGTATTATAAAAACTACAAAGAAAATCAAAAAAATTACCTCCTCAACACACTAACTACATAAACAAATTCTAAGGATTGTCCACAGACATAGAATAAGAAAATCATAGTAAAACCAATACATTCCTCGGTTCGTTCATAATCAAAACGGTTTTTAACAAGTTTCGTATATATACTAACAGTAACACGAAAATCTAACACCTAAAATAACTTACTCTGTTTAATATTCTTAAGTTTTTTTTTTCATTATAATAACTAGAGCCTTGCGTTATGATTCCCTCTATTACACACATTTTTTCAAACTAAAAATAAAATATTGCTTTTATAAAATCGTATAGGTGTAGCCATTTTATAGTTATAGATTTCAAACTAAATTTTAATGTTACAAATATTAACTGATAATCCATCTTTAAGTCCTACAATTTTTTGAAATTTACGATAATTTGAATTGTTTTCATTGTAATTAATACATAATATAATCGATTCATGAATTTTTCCATGAAAAATTATTTTGTTAATGATTTTTATTTTCTTCTCTTTCACCTTCATCCCAACTATTTGGGGTCAGCCATCTTCGTTCTAAACTTCTACTTGACTTTATCTTCCATCTCGTTTACACCGGCTATCCTCATATTCTGAATCGCATCTAACTACCTCTATTTTGGACTTCCTCTCTCCTTCTTTCCTCTAACGTTTATTTTCATTACAACTTTCACTGCTTCAGATTCTTCTCTCCTCGTGATATGCACAAACCATCTCAATCTATTTTATATTATTTTTTCTACTATCTATAAGCCACCTCTTATGTATCAAATCAATTACTCATTCTTTATAGCTTATACTATCACTTTTTGTCACTTCACTTATCCACTTAAACATTCTCATCTCTGCTACACTCATTCTCTGTTCTACATACCCAACACTCCAAACTATACAGCATAGTCGATTACCATACTTTTGTAAAACTTCTATTTAAGTCTCATTGTAATTATCTTGTTACATTTAACACTTGACGCTTCTCTCCACTTTAGCCAACCACACTAAATCCTATGTTTCACATCTTCGTCAAAGCCACTGATCTATTACATAAAAGATCCTAGATACTTAAAACTTTAAAACTCATTTATTAAATTACTATGTATTGTCATTAGGTCTCTTGTCCTGGTCTTCCAAACTCATAATCTATATACTTCTACTTAACCTTAGCCCTTTTCTTTTAAGTGCTACTCTCCATTTCTTAAGCCTATTGTTAACTATCTCCAAATTTTCTCCGTGCATCATGGTACCTCCTCTTACCTACTTCCCCGTACATATCCGTAATGAGACGACCCTCCAAAGTTTTGTTTACAACGCCTCATATTAGTTGACAGAATTTTACACCGGTTGTTGATCTGATGCAACCCCATTTATCACCTCATACGACGGGTAGAGGTACCATGGGAGTATTCTGATCCCCTGCCACAGGGTGATTGGTATTGTCAACTATAAAGGGAATTCCTCCACTCTACAGAAACAATAACATATGCTTACTGGAATCACCTACCTAGGTTTTCAACCAGTATAAGCTCTGGACCCCGTTTTTGCTGAAGTCGTAGCATTATATGACCCCTTGAGGTGATGTTAATGATTTTCGTGTACTTCAAAAATGTGTATATACTATTAACTATAAACGAGCGTAAGTAAATATTTCTAATAACAACATTTAGTTTCAAAATTATATTTATTAAACGGTCATCTTGAATTTTATAAAAACGTTATTTTTTTTTAACCGTTTAAATTTTTTTTTTTTATTTTAAAATATATACATAAAATAGAATAATATTATACCGCAAAGATCTAGATATTATTATGGAAAAAAAAAACTTAAAAATAGTTTGAGCAGTACAAAAGTTATTTCAGGTGTCAGATGTTTGTGTTACATCAGTGGCTCCAAGCCATATACATTATGTGTAGCAGTTACTACACATTATTCGAAAGGTGGTACGAATTAAGTTGACTTTTGAGTGATTTAATAGATCTTACTAAATTTCCAAGTTACGTTTAAGTTCCAATACGACTATGAAACAAAAAAAATGTAAGGGGTTAGATAGAGATATATTTTTAAATTTCCAACTTTGCTGCACGTAACAGATGACAATAGTCGTAACCTATACGTTACGACTATTGTTGAAAATCGGAAAATGTCGACTTTTCGTTCAGTAGAGCCGATTTTATGCTGGTAGATTTAACATTCTAGTGAATCGACCTTTTTATAAAACTCACATATGACAATTGTCTGTGTTTTTACGTTGGTTTTTTCGATACATTAATATTGTCGGGCGAGATACGATGATTTTTATATTCACATACTCGTATCTCGCTTGACAATATTGAAATATTGAAAAGACCAACACAGGATTGCGTATGTCCAGCATTCCTCCTATGACCGCTAATTTTTCACTTACATTCTTTTAATTTTATAATTCCATATGGTTATTATTGTTATATTCATCTACGTTAAATTATTTACCGGGTGACCATAATGGTTACAAAACCATAGGTATCATGGGATGGCCATAGAACGGGAAAAGGCGATTTCAAAATATTAATACTGATTTTTCACTCCGTCATGTCCTCACATGTCCTTAGCACTTTGAAATTCAAAAACTAAATTGATTTGAATGCATTTGCGGTTTGGTTTTGCTCAATAACTATAGACGCATTAAATCGAACGAGAATAGAAAATAATTCCTAAAAAGGCCGTAGTTCGGAGACTATACATTAGAGATACAAGACAAATGATATTTCCGTCTTTAAGTTCGGAAACAGTATAAGCCGATATTAAAACTGTGCAGCGGTACGAAATGGGTTCTACCGGCCGAAAAGTCGGCGTTGTCCAATTTTCAGCATTTAGCCTCAACAACGTAATAAGATCCGTTCCACTCGAAATCCGCCTCCGTTCTATGTACGCGCGATTAATCACGACGCGTATTTTAATAAAATATGTCGACTCTGTCAGACAAACTTTAAGTCGAGCATCATTTTACAGTGTTGCCTCTGCACGTATATAATATATATGTCAAAACGTATCGAACGCGTAATAATTATCGTTTTATGCGCGCGTTCACCAGACGCATATACCGCGCACACGTGATTTATATGTTTCGTAAAATATCTTAAAAAAATATCGGTATTATATTATAATATTATACGCGAGTACACGTCTAAGTTTGGTCAATAAATCTCGCGATTTCCGAATACGTAAATATATTATGACTCCACGAATATATTACTCTTCTTCTTTTCCCACCACCCCTCCACCACCGATTAACATACGTGAGTATAGCGCGTCGCCTAGGTAAAATTTTTCGGTTTCTAAAATTTCTTTTCGCGCACAGTCTCGACGCGATACGAATAAACCGTTATTACCTACTATAATGTTATGTATATTATTCGAGTTACGAGTCGTTTCGATAGTAATAATTATTATTGTGACGCACGACTGTAACGAAACGAAATTTTATATATTTTTTTTTTTTTTTAAACGTCACGTTCACTATGAAAATTTAAAACCTGTTTGCGCCGCCGGTTAAGTACTCGTATATTAGTTTTTACGCGTAATAGATTAGAAACAGAAAAAAATAAGTGGAAAGGCGAGCCCGATCGCGTTATCCTAAAGGTAGACTTGTTAGCCAGAAAAAAAAAAAAAAAAATTATATTATAATATAATATATGAAATAGTGGCAATTCCGGTATTATGTTTTTGTCTATTTTCGGCTAATATTATAATATTACGTTCCCAATAGCGTATATTATTTTTGGTGACACACGACAGAGTATATAAAAAAATATTATCAAAAATAAATAAAAAACCTATACACAGTGAGACGAAAAAAAAATTGCAAAAAAAAAAAAGTTAATCCCGCTTTGCATATGACGTACACATAGGTTTATGATTCGCTATATACCTTTATTGTAGCGAACATATTGTGTGAATAACGATTTGGAAATCTTCCCGAAATATATTAAAAATTATGTTCACTTTTAATAATATGCGCAGTATTTCTATATAAGAGTGATTTTTCAGATATATTCTCACCGCATGTCGACACAACGTCTGCTATAATATAAAAAATATAATAACATTCTCGTATACGCATTTTTTTGTTTTTGTTTTTGTTTTTGCTTTTTTTTTTTTTTTTTTTTTTTTTTTTTTTTTTTGTTAATTTTATTATCTAGTAATAAAAAAAAAAATTGAAAAATTATGATTACAGTTTGTATAATATGGAATTTTATAATTCGTATTTTCTATAATATACCTATACAATACTATATCGACTGTCCAGTTGAAGACTGCAACAAATAAAAAAAATAAATAAATAAAAAACTCAATAATGAGTTATCGTACGCTTTTTTGTTCCCGTTTTCGAAACAATTTTAATTCTAAAATGCAACGGAAATCGGTCAATCTGTTGAGCACTAGAGAGCTCTTGTTTCGTTTTAGAATAATATAATATCCAGTTCTAAAGTAAATCGAGCACCTATACTTATTGTAATATTAACCCGAGTATTCATATACAATCAGTAACAGTGACAACACAAAACAATGGCCAAAAATGTGTTCATAACTAATTTATTGCGTGTTTTGTTCAAATATTCATTGAATTTTTAAATCACTCTCCCGAATAAAGCCTTTTTTTGAGTTGTTTCGGTCTTTAACCGGATAGGCGATATTATTAGTATATTATTTTACTTTACTACGCCATTGATATAATAATATTATGATCATGCGAAATCGGTCTCGTCGGGTTTTTGTTATACATATTACGTATATGAATAATACGATAATATGTCCGATCCAGATCGCGCGGTTAATTTGCCGTCGAATTGTTTTTATTTTTAATATCATCTGTGTATTTTTACATAATAATAATATTGATACAATATAATGTTTACTACTTTGATCTGTTAAAAAAACCATATATATATATACATATATAATATGCATTTGTTGTTGTTGTTATTGTTGTTTTTTTTTTTTTAATCAAAGTATGATATTTATACGTTAAAATAATAACAGAACCATCTGATTATCTCTCTCTCTCTTCTCTCTTTCTCTCTATCTCTCTCTCTCTTTCTGTCTCTCTATCTATCTTTATCTGATTCTCTACCTCCATTTCTTTATCCGGATAATAACCTACGGACGGAGGACATTTCGATAAGGATTTTATAAATGTTCCTATATGGACTTTTGCGAAAAATAAAACATGGCGCAACCAAGAGACATGTTGACAGTTCTCCGGGTACCTAACCAGCAATTAATATGTGTATATATATGTATATAGTTCCCCGAGCACCTATGTTGTTATGCACAAAAAGAAAAACACAAATTTTCGTGTGATAACGATATAAACTCGTGGCTAATCTGTTAAAACCGTACTGGGCAGTGACGTATTTACGGGGAGATATCAGGGAAATATATCTCCCCCCTTTTGAATCTATTAATTATCTACATGACTAGCTATTTTTAAATATTCAAATTTCTGTACATTTTAATCAGAAAAATTTAAAATTGAATGGGTAATTAATAATGTCAATTTATTAAAAAACCTGAACGTGTACATTTTACTGTTTAAAATAAAACCTACATTCAAACTACAGTAATATGAAATTACTTACGAAACTTTATAAATAAAAAATTTATCATTTCTTTTAGCCTGGGTACACATTATACAATATAACACAATTTTCCTAAATACCCTATTAGTGTTGGGTATAATACTATTAAATGTCGATAGCATTTGAGTTGTTATGTTTAAAAGTATATTATAATGGAACAGAGTTTAGCCGAGCTAAAAACGTAAATCGCATAAACAAGGAAATTATTAATTGCTGGTTATTTGGAGTAATTTCATGAGTGTCCCCTGTGGTATATCCGCCATTTTCCTACAACCTCATCTTTCTCTCTCTCTCTCTCTCTCTTTCTCTCGCTCTTTCTTTCTTTCTGACTTCCTTCTATAATACAGCTACAACATTAAAAATAACAGAAACATACGTCGTTTAACGCAACAATAATGACGATAGATATATTTGGTTTTTTCCGAATTTTAATTTTTAAGTATAACGATTAAATTATTTAGTATCATATAATATACCTATTTATAAATGCATAAAAATACATAAATATTTAAATAAATGGATGAGAAAAAAAATACAAAAGGAGTGACCGGCTGTTATTATTGTGCTGCAGACTGGTCAGAGGCTGGTGGAGGAGTCGGCGGCGGGAGCGCGGAGACGCTGTCCTGTTTCGTATGCGGCAAGCGCCTGAGCACCAGGTTGACGTTGAAGCGGCACATCGAACAGCAGCACAACCAGCCTCTCCACTCGGCCGTCTGCAACGTGTGCAACAAAGTGTTCCGCACGCTCAACAGTCTCAACAACCACAAGAGCATTTACCACCGGAAACCCAAAGCGTACAAGTCGACCGGCGGCGGCGGAGTCGGTGGCGGCGGCGGCGGCGGCGGCGGTGGCGGAGGTGGAAATGCAAGCAGCGGGGGTGCCGGTAACGGTAGTGTAAGCGGGGGTGGCTGCGGTGGCGGAACGACCGCGACGGGAGCAGCCGGTACCGCGGTATCGGTAGGCGCGACCGCCGCCGCGACGGTGCAAGCGACCGCGACCGCGGTATCGTCAACGTCGCCCGACGGTAACAACGGCGGCGGCGGCGGCGGCGGCGGCGTGTCCGGTACCGTCACCGCTACCACAGCAGCCGCCTCCACCAAGAACTTGCCGCCGTTGACCATGTGGTACAACAACAACTGACACAAACTGCAGAGGAGCGCCTGAGAAGACATTGGGTCGACGGTATCCCCGTTGTCGGACAGCGTTTCTCGTCGCCGCCTAACGTAACCTAACTGTAACATATTAGAATACAATAATATATAACCACAAAACGATACGCCGGCGATCAGCCCGCGTCCAGCCGGCCGCAATTGCACGACTGCCCGGTAAAATGAAAAAAAAAAAAAAAAAAAATAAAGAAACAAACGTATACATTAAAAACTAACAGTATTATTATATGCATTATGCCACGTGCCGTAACGACGACTATGAACAGTGCAATAACGAAAATGTTATACAATTTATCTATAATTACGCTTTTTGAAGATTTTTTTTTACGAAAACGTAGACGTTTCGAGTATATTATTTGAATTTAATTGTACAACGTATTGTAATTCTTAGCGTAAGTTTTATAGAGTATTCCGTTCGTCCTCCTTTCCCCGTTACGACTGTACTCACAAATTATTATTATTATTATTATTATTAATATTATATATTATGATATTGTATTAACGACGAATTATTATTTCCTCCCGTTTTTTTTTTTTTTTTTATATATATATATATATACTAATTATAAACCATTAACATTATATAGAATACTAGTGTGTTGTGTATTATAACTTTTTTTTTTTTTTCGTCGACGTTTAGACTGTTTTCGTACAAGGTTATATTCTATAAATTATATATTATATTATATTATACATATTATACATATTATTATTATTATTATTATTATTATAGCCAAACGAAACGCCTAGTGTAAGTGGGCGCAACCAGTTTCCGCCGAAACGAACGAACGTATTCTCCCCTGTCCGGGCGCCGCGCACATTATGCACGTTTCCACGGAACGTGTCCCTTGCCGTTTCCCGCTGATACCCGTCCCCGCCGGAACGAACCCGGCCCGTTTCCGCGCCAAACGAAATTCGACCCGATATAAATAAATTCCTTTTTGTGCCGTGCGAAATACAACACACCCGAGTCCAGCAACGTTTACGCGGTCGCGACCGTTTAACTCCGACTTAGCGCCCGGGTACAATATTATTATTACTTTGGTATTACCGAACGGTGGCTATTTTTTTCAGTCATTTCGCAGTGCGCGCGCATAATATTGTATTTGAGTCGCGCACGCGGTGTGGACGGAAATTCGAAATTTCAATACCGAAATGTATTTTTTTTTCATTAATCCGTCATTGGATTTATGGAATTTTTAATGTTGAGCGCCGATCAAAAATAATAGTTTTGCCCGAAAAAATAACGGTAGCGTAACATTTTAGAGCTATTTGTTTTATTAGTTGTTTAAAAAAAAAAAAAAAAAATGCCTAAAAAGTATAAATACTTCCGAGATAATTATCGAGGATTGATTACGCTGTAAATACTTTTAAATAATTTGCGAAACCTCGAGGCTCGTCTGTAATAAATAATAAGGTGCAGTGGCGTAGCCAGCGGATAGGTCTGGTAGGCTTACCCACTTTTCTCCGAAAACCAACACAATTCTAAAATCGAAAATTTGTAATAGTAGTCTTTTTCTATACGAACATTTATATTATTTTATCTGGCCCACCCAGAAAAAAAAATTTCCAACTTCGTTTCTGGGCAGGCGTACATTTTAATTTTTTGAAATGCACAAAAATAGCGCCACTGCTGCCGAATATTATTACACGCTCGTAGTATGTCAGCGGGACAACGAGGATTTTTTTCAAAGGGCAATATATACACATTGAAAACAAGTAGTCGGTCGACAATGGTTTTATCGATGAATAATTAACAAATCGCGAAACGCTCAAAACCGTCAAATATCGAATTCATCGAATAAGACCCGAACCCCGTAAACGGCGACGTCCCACCGGGCGGACGTCACTGTATGACCGAAAGTGTTTTCCTGTGCGATGTCGCGGTACGGGAACGCGGTGTCGACGGGAAACTCGTAATGACGCGGACGCGTTCGGGCGGAAAAATGGAAATTTTCGTTTCGACGGAAACCGCGGGTCCCGCCCGTATTATTATTATCACTCATATTGTTAATTTTTAGAATCTGTACAATAACATTATAGGACATTGTACAAGTATAACGTTTATTATTGTTTACCGTAAAAGGGGAGGGGGAGGGGGAGGAACTTCGACACTTGCATAATAATAATATTGTGTTTTCGGCAACATTCATCGCATACGCCCGCGCGGCCGTATCATCGCGCTCAAGCGAAAAACGCGTGGAAAAACGTAATGTCGTTATCGTTTTGTTTTATCTCGCGGCCGAGTATTTTCGACGGTCGTTACATTATCGTTATTGGCGTAACTTAAAACACCGTGTTTTCGCCACATTGTATACTACCATTACCCCCCCCCTCCCTACCCACCCACGTGTAATTTTACGTGCCTAATAATAATAATAATAATATTGAATAGCTTGTAGACACAGTATTGTATCGGTATTATATTGATATACATACATATATATATATATACGTATTTAAAAAACAACAACGATTTAGTATTATTTTTTTGTACTTAAAGAAAATATAAATAATAATATATTGTTATATATACGTGTACACATTATATACGTTATACGCACATTTTATTTACATAGATAATATGTGCGTGTGTGTGTGTGTGTGCGTATGTATAGTGTATATGCGTGTGTATAACCTGAAAACAATAATCGATTTCGTGTTTTTTTTTGTAAACAGTTTGTAAATCCCCCTTTCCCCCCATCTCTGATTAACAATTAATGCGCGACCCGAAACGGTGTGTCGACGAGCAAGCCCCCCCCCCCAAAAAAAAAAAAAAATCTCTCCGGAATCGTGGCATGGTGTACTTTTGGTATTGGTAGAGCTCTTTATTATTATGTCACGTGTTCACGTGAAATTAACATTCGTTAACCGTGTGGATACTTGAAAAATCCTAGTACACGTAATATATTATAGTGTTTTAATATGTTCACTTTAAAGTTTAAGTTCATCGTATCGTTAGACGATTTAATTTTACAACAAAAACAATTCGAATTACAGAAAATCCGCGGTAAATTGAATGGAATGTTTGTAATTATTGTACGCGTCATCGCCAGAACAATAAGGTGGACAGGGTGAATACGCGAATAACGCTAAAACACGCGAACACGGTCCGCCGGACAGTAAATTCACTCGTATAAAATTGCGTTTAACGCGAAAATACCGGGCGATAAACATAGTAATGTTAGCCAGCCGAGTTTTCTCCCCGTGAGATTTCAATATTTTTCGCCGATACGAACGCGCACTTCACGGCCGAAATACGTAGAGTTTCCATCATACCTGTTTGTCCTTACCTTAAAAATCTAACCGCTGGGGACCGAATATGAGCTCCATCATTATAAGTTCTGTCCACCCATCTCCGGCGCGGTTTCACCCCTCGGCGCCGTGCCACCAAATCCTTCGCCGGTGGCTCTCTTCGATATCGTCTATCGTCCGCTCACCATACACCGCGACCCAGTCCATTCCAGTCCTATACCCTTATAATGACTAACTGGACCGAGATTTTCCCCTTTCGCACAGCTCATCAATACGGGAATTCGATCTTATTGCCCGTCCGTCTTCTTCGGTTTTATAATATTATATTGGACCACAAATCCATCTCGCGTATGATATTATTGTTCTCTCAAAGTCGCCCTTCGCACGAGTAACAGGGACCCGCGTGGTGCATGCGCGCGTCCGAGCGACAGTGGTCCTTACGTAAATAATATAACTACGTAAAGTTGCTATTGTTTCGTGTTTTTATTTATTTTTTTTTTTTTTTTTAATATTATTGTTTCGTATTTGAAAAGGTCATGCTGGCGAGAAGTAACGCGGACAACTTTTTATTAATGTCGCTGTGCCCATCGTTTTTACTGCCCGTCGTCGATTAGGTTAGGCACTACTATGATTGATTTTATTGACTGACAAACTCCACTGTTTATACAGTTCAAATTTTCATAAATTGAATACCCATAGTTATTTTAACGGATTGTACATAACGAATGATTGATTTTTCGAATATGCATTGAAATTCAATCGGTCGTGTCGCGATGAATATACATAAACTGTACACACGATAGTCTGATTTAGTTTATGTTTACGGACTAACTATTATAAATATTTAACGGTATCAAAAAAAAAAAAAAAAAATTGAAAGTCTAGAAGTGTACAGCGGCGTGAACATGATCCAATATCGAACAAGTATCTGTTACGGTTTACCCGTAGTTACCTGTAATATGTATACTAGAACCAGTATGGTAACTATACGGTAAACGACGTGTGAAACGAACAATCTCCCGCACCTGCAGTCGTGTTCGTGTCGGTAGGTCAGGTTAGGCGTATTATTATTATTATTTTTTTTTTTTTGCACTTCAGTCTAGTAAAGCGACGCCAAAATAGAAAATCCCCCGTTGTCACCAAAGTTCGGTATACATGGCGACAAAAAACAAAATATGCAGCAGATAACCGCAGACAAAATAATTCGCTCGCGACAGTCGAATGTGCTTACCAATGTGCGCTGCAAAGACCAAAGTTTTCGGTTATTATTCCGTCCCGGTTTCTGTAGAATATTACGCACGTGCATATTTCCTCTAAACGTTCCTTTAAAAAAAAAAAAAAAAAAATTATTTATATTTACAACAATAATAATATTTACGTTCGGGTACCGAAAAAATAAGACTTTCAATTTGGATCGCCTGTCTGTTTTCGCGTGTGTTTAATGTTTGTACAATATACGCCTATATATAACCGAAAATAAACATATGTCTAATATGTGTACCACCGGAAGTATGTTTATATAGGTACATATTCGGTGGCTTTGTGCGAGTCTCCTCCCACACACCATACGCATTATGTACAAAAGTAAACAACATTCGCTATGTTTTTTTTCGTCTTTACAGCATTACGACAATGTTTTATCAGAACTCGTTCCGGCAAACCGACAGTGGTCCGCGTGTAAACGACAAAAATTGTACGTTATCGATAGGGCCGATGTTTTTTCAGTTGCGTGCCCTCATCGTATCCAAAATCGAATTCGTCTTGTGCGAAGGTTAAATTGGGAACATTTGCCTCGTTATTGATTAGCACTCGCTATTACACGAAATCGTTTGAAAAATACTAACAGAAATCACGCAGATCGTTCTTCCAAATCCAAAACTATACGCGGACTTTGAAAATAAATATAGTACCTGTATCGTATAATTCGTGTCCAGTTTCACACCTAAAAAGATGTTATTTTAATAATAGCCGGTTATAGTTCGCGCTATACCTGGGTAGGTGTTATAGGCGAAAAGTTGATCAAGTTTACATATCGAATAGGTATTTTAACAGGCAACTACAGTAAAAACGTGTTTTAAAAAACTAGATAATCCAGAAATTCTTAAAAGTCCGAAATTCTAACGCGGTCAACCGTGTAGAAATCGAAATTTAATCTTTGAAATGTTTAAATACGTAGTCATCGGTTTCGCGAATACAATAAAGAATTGTTAAAAAGCCGGACATATTTCGCACGGTGGGTAGGCCACTGCTATTGCAGGTGGGAAATGTGGAAAGTTTGCAAAAACGACTCGGAATGGATCTCGGTAATCTGATAATCTAGTGATCACGGTGACTACCATCTAGTCTATCATCTAGTGACCTTACCTATGAGTAGTATCAATTGTAATTTTTCGCTTTGGTGTAGAGACATCTTATTACTTGGAAATTCTTATTACTTCTCGTGTACTTACTATTTATTACTATTCATGAAACGAAAAAAAAAATGCGATGCGTAGATATTATGTATGCATGAGTTATTATATTATATTAGATATACAAAATATATATTTGCCTCTCCCCTAGTCCGGGGGCTCTTCAAAAATCGTTCGTGTTCGTTTCTATACTCGGTTTTTCAACAATACTATTGTTACTCTCCCGACCGTGCACACACGCCAAAGACGGGTGCATTAGTGTTTTTTTTTTTTGGACGCCGTCGTGTCGTTAGGTTTTCGGTATGTATGCGGACGGACGAAACAAAAAGGCAATATTTAAACCGTTCGTATACAATAAAAATACAACGTTTTCGGGCGCGGTATTGTGTAATTATTTCGCGTTCGCGAGTTTTCGGGTTTCCGGGGATTTCTGTTTTGCGGTTGTTACAATAAAATAATATATCATCCACATTTTATGTAATCGTAATAATATAAATTATCGCGAAGAAGTGGAGCGGCCCGGTTCTGCGGGTGTATTGTGCACGGCGCACGTCTCGGCAAAACGAATACACAACGGACGATAAATCAGCCGCTGCGTTCAACGGGAAATTTAACCTCCGAAAGAAAAGCCGATTTTCATTTGTATTTATTACAATAATATTTAGTTTACGCCGTCGTCGTCGTAATATATTATTTCCCGTCGGCGGAATACCGAAATCAACGAGCGCTCAAATACCCGTGCCTGTGTATTATAGTGTACAGTGCTCGAATGGGGCGTGGGCGAGGTGGACGGAGTACGCCGCACACCGTTCCCCCGAACGCGAAACTATACGCGGATGTTGGAAACAAGTGCCTATCGCATTCGCATACCGCGAGGACCGCTGTTTCCCCCTCCCCCTCCCCCATAATTTGTTTTATTTTTCTGATTCGAGTACGGATATTATAACGTCGTGCCGTATTCGAACACTGTTAATTTGCGCTCGCGTCGCGGCGTGTACAGCGCCGTTTCCGGATTCGGTAGTGTTACAACTAAGAGTAAGGGCGCGGCAATTTTATTTCTCGATAACGGTTTACGGGGTTGTTGTTGTTGTTGTTGTTGTGTATACCCGGTCCCGTACGAAAACGTAAATTCCGCCGCATAAAACGTAGCACATTACACACGGTATATAATAATTGCGCGCGATATATAAATAAAGGTAGACAGACGTGTGCTAACAATATGCGCTCGCAGCAAATACCCAACGCGGTGCGGTTTTGACATGGCGTCTCTCGCGGGAATACAATCTGTGATTTATTATTTCGGAATATTATATGATGTTAAACACGAAATCCGCTCTGTGCGCCGAGGCCTTTTCCGTTTTTTTTTTACTGCGCCTACGTCTATACCGTGAAAGACGGAAAGAAAAATAAAAAAAAAAAAAATGAAAACCTTATCAAGGACGCTTATGAGCGTAGCGCTTTATGGGAGTGAGCCGCGGACAACAGGGAATGACGAAGAAACAAAAAACTACTCGCGTTCGAGGCGCAGTACTAAAGGAGAATGCTTAAATTAAATTGGATAGATCATACTGTAAAAAATGAGGATGTTTTCCGTAGAACAGGAGGCGAATGAAGTCCCTTTGTACCCCGGAGATTAATAGAGATAACTAGTTGGGCATACACATCGTCACAACAATCTACTAGGAAGTCCATTAAAGGGATCCATACAAGGGGAAAAATAACCGAGGGATGATACCACTCGTATATATGAGCCAAATAATTAAGGATATAGTTTGCGAAACACATGACGAATAAAAAAGAAAACAGGAGAAGAGCGGAGAACGGAGAACTGCTGCCAACTTTGGACTGTTAACGCAAGAAGATCTATATTCTAACGCCCGTTATTCAGGACCGTATCGACACAAACATTTAATTTTCAGCCAATTTACGTACGACTCATCAGGTTTTTAGACTGTCGGTCAGTAATTTACGTAATCAATCGCTCTACTGAGTCCAGATCTAACGTGTTCATAGAGACACCGGTCGATTTCTTATTTGATAAAAAGCGACAAAACTGACGGAACAGGTTTTTTTTGTATTTCGATTTCTTTTAGAGGGGTGCTCACACTCGACAATTATTATTTTGTTTACCGATTTCTGATTGCTGTATAGACGTCTTTTTTTCCTTTTTTTTTTTTTTTACTATCGTCTCAGCCCAGGAACGGAACTAATAACAAAAATAACATACTGTATTGGATTATATACTGACGTGTATTTAATTGGAATATAGCAAAATTGTAACGAAAATATAATAACATTCGTAAGTGTAGGTGTAATTAATTTTTATTTTATTTCTAGTCGGGTTCCAACCGGTTTTGAGTTATTAGCACAACTCGTAACTCGTTACGACGACAGCGACGACGATTATTGTCGACAATTATTTTTTGAATAGTTTTTTTAGTTATAAGTGCAATAGTAGGTACTTATAGTACCTGTACCTACCTAGTCGTATTTTTTAATCGCATATTTTCACTTGGTTTCGAGTGCGTTTCAATTGGAGAGAGGCCAAAACGATGCCATACAATATAATAGATACGTGTGCGAAGGAATTTAATCGAAAAATTTGATTTGATAAAATAATTATCATCGTTTTTGTTGTTTCTTCAATCCGAAATGTTTCACGAATAAAAAAATGGTATATATAGTTCGTCATATGTAATATTATATATATATATTATATTATAAAAATAATAAAAAAAAAACCATATTTATATAAAATTATCTAAACACGCGCTGTTAAAACATTTTCGGTGTGTTATACAACGTGTAACGAAAACAAAAATATTAAGTAGACGTCACTCAAAACACGCGCATAAAGTTTTTGTAAGCGAGTACATATTTATACATATACAAGTATACGTGGGAAAACAAGCGTTTTTTGAATAAGACGTTGGAAAGTTAAATTATACGGGAGATAAGTGCCACCCTGTGCAGTAGCGTAATGAGAGAGAAGGTTTTGTAAGTGTAGCGACTCCCCCCCCACTGACCGTATTTAATCATTACGGATAGGTAATTCAAATATAATAAAATAGTAAACGATAAATTTTACAATTACAATGTTCGTGTTTTTAAAAAATTATGACGTTAAAGATTATTGGTTATTTTTATCTCAATTTAACAATGCTTATATCCCGAGCTTGAGGACTAAAATATCGAAAAAATAGCACTGACGTCGCACAGATAATATTTTATATGTTTACTTTTGTTTAAGTTTGGTAATAGGTCAATTTACTTTAATATTAAAACATTAACAGCACAAAGTTGTCCCTGCTGCACTAAAATTTGCTAAGCCGTACGTTCGTAAGACGAAGATGACATAGCGTCCTCGCAAATGTTTAACTAATAAATAGTGATAATGAAAACGAGATTTTTAATTTTTTCATAACACGCCCCGCCCCCACTTCCTTTCGAAATTCCTGGCTACTCACTTGTGATTTAAAATTCTTAGTGGCGCGTGGAATACATTGGTTTTACAATGAAGTTTTTTTTTTTTCTGTTAACAACTTTTCTACCAGAAATTTTGTGCATATTTTCAAGCGCAGCACGTTTTTGAAAGGAAATCCGACTCGAGTGGTAGTTTAAAGAGATCATTTTTTTTTTGATAATCTCAGGGGTTTTTATAATAAATGGGAATAACGGGAAAATTTACGTTATTAAATGTATTATATTCAAATCGTAAATATTACGGCTTTTCAAAACATGTAGGCATAATCGAGCTCCGCTCAGAAGCGTTTTCCGTTAGCAAAGTTTAACCGTTGCGTACAGATTTAAATTAAATTTCCCCTCTACCTTCTCAACTTATCACCTACAACAGTTGTTCACCAATCGTGTTAAATATGTCCGCTTGGTTTTGATTCTGAGTATTATGTAGACCACAGAAGGGCGATCGTGGATATCGTACGGCAGCAACGATATGTTTTAATTACTATGTCACTTTATTTCAAATGTTGTCCGTACCCCGCAATTCCACCTCGGATACTCGTAAAATCAAAAGCACATCACACGCGTCGTTTTTAATGTCGAAGGTTGTTGTTGGGTTCTGTAATTCCCGAGAAATTCTTTATAGAAAACCGCTAACGACTATATTATCTACAGGCTACCGTAGTTTCGTATAAAAACAACGGGATTTATAGCAAATGTGTTTAAATTTTTAAAAAAATATACGTATCATGCAATCGAAATATCTCGAAATGATCTAAAAAATCGAATTACCGTTGACATTTGTGTTTATTTTTTCACCGTTCTCTGAGAACGAGTCTGTTGGGTAACGTGTACCAACTTCCCCCTCCTTTTGGCTGTCAAACTTTAAAAACAAATTTATTTTTTTTTTTTTCGCCTGAATAAAATATTATTACATGAGTAAATAAAAACAAGTTATTGTAAATACATAATATATTGTAATATATTTACTTTTATACGAAAATAAATAAAAATTTTGATTTTATTCTCTTTTAGACAGTATGAGCATAGACGCCAGATTTTTTAAATGTTATGGGTTGCGCACTATTTCAGATACTCATATACAGTTTTTCCCAACTCTTGCCAATCTCATAGGGGGCTGCGGCCCCAAGCCCCCTCCGTGTGTCTAACCTGCGTTTAAGTATAATTTAAAGGAAAGAGGGTGGGAGGACGATGGTTTTATTTTGGAAATATTAACTAATTTACGCAAACTTTCACCCCGCCTACTCACCGTGCACTTAGGGTACATTCGTCGCAATGCAAATACGACAGAGTGCAGTGTATACGGCGGCGTGCGTTTCAATATAATATAACAATAATTATATTTTATACGAGTGCGCCCTATTTGTGAGGTTACAAATTATAAACGAACGGATTTTTTTTTATTTTTTTTTTTTTCGTGCTTAGGACTGAAAAAAGTGTTCCCGTGCTTGGCTTGCGGCAAAGTACTGTGCTCGAAAGCGAGTCTGAAGAGGCACGTGGCCGACAAGCACGCGTCCAGACAAGAGGAGTACCGGTGCGCCATCTGTGAACGGGTGTACTGTTCGCGGAACTCGTTGATGACGCACATCTACACATACCACAAGACGCGGCCCACCATGCTGCTGCCACCACCGCCGCACCATGCGCCCCCGCCGCCCACCACACACTCCGACATCAAGTTCTAGTATTCGATATTCAAAGGTAAGCGACCCACCGCCACGCTGTATAATATTTTCGGTGGATATGGTAGGTCGCGTCCCAAAAGCACCAGTGCCGTGGCCGGGATTTTTCCCCTGGGGGAAGGGGGAGGGGGAAGCTTCAGTTTTTGGCGGTCAACAGTACGGCCAGACAAATGAGTTCACGCCGTACTGCTGACTGCGATTGCAATGTATATCGCATAATAACGGGTTATTAGGTCAGGTTCGATTATAGGTAAAGCCATAATGGTCGAGTCGATAATGGTGAGGAAAAAGGAGGACGAGAAGGCGAAACAAGCCGTTGACGATGACGTCGTCTGCCTGCCCGGTGGGTTTCGCTTCGCCTTTTTAACGGCGGCTCCGTTGAGGAGGGTGAGCCGATCCGGGAGAAACAATGCTAACTGGCCTTCTCCCGGTTCGGCGGAGTCTATAAGAGAGAGAGAAAAAACAGAGGTAAAGCAATATGATTGACCGAAAACCAACGCGTTCGCGTCTCGTAACGATAGAAAAAAGAGAGGAGGATTCGTTGTTTGATTCCGCCTGATTATTCTCGCAAGAGCCCAATCGGACATTAAGTGTATACTCGTTCACATTATGGTCGCGGTTCGTTATCCCTCCCCTCCTCTACGGGTGTTTCGTTCAATTATTGTGTTTTATAATATTCCTTTTTTCGTTTGATTGCGCCCGTTACACAGGCTCGTCATGTCATGTCCAGAGCACACCGAAACGGCGTATTTACAAGAGAGTTTGGGGGTTCTAAACTACAATGAAAATCTTCATTAGCGTCACGACGCGTGTGAAATTAATTTAAACTAATGGTAAACTGATAAAATAAAACAAGACGGAAAATGTTTGTTTTTCGATTTTGATTATAGAACGAATTGATGAAAAAACAATCGCGTTTTGTCTATAATATAATATTGTGCAAGTGGCTTTGAGCTTTCTGTTAGTTTACAATATATTATAGAAACACGAGTAATTAATGATTTCGACGTTTGTATTTACAAAAATATTGGAATTTATTTCGAAAACAGTTTGCACGCTCAATAAACCACTTTAAAAGTCACGGTTTGGTCGACACTTTGAGAAATTGATGTTTTTGTGTCGATATTTGTATAATATATTCGTATTATGCCGTGTAATGAAATCGTTCACGGAAAAATCGTTCACGGTTTCCAATGTCCGCGCTAAAAACTATTTTCATCACGAAATTATCGTATAATAATATTTGGTGTTCATCACGAGCAGAAATAATAATGTACGAGCATAATTTAAGCCCGAGCGTCGTATGACTTTTTAATTAAGGCCGCCGTCGTACTTAAGGCACTTGTCGAGTCGGAAATTGGCACGCGCGTCTACAATATTACATTATAATGTGTACAAAACACTGGAAGAAAAGCGGAATTTCAGTTTAAAGGGAAGAGCGGAGATCTAATTTATTAAACTCGCGATCTTCTCGCCGGTTCGCGAATTCCGTCGTGAATATCGCCATGTACATTTTCGTCGGATGAGGAAATTTTCCCCCCCCTCGGGATTCAAACCGCGATAAATTGCCTTCTACGATTTTATAATGCCACTTCCCGCGTAATACTATAACTGGAACCCGACATTCATATTTCCGGCCTCCAAATCCAGTGGCGTGCCCGGGAAGTAAATAGGAGAACGGGATGTAAGAAATAAAAGCGTAGAATCTTTTTCCGCAATGTCTGAACCGACACTAAGCATCGATAAGCCGGATCAAAAAACGTCAATTTGTATGCAATAAAAAAGTTCTTTCCCCCTCGTAACGCGGCTGAAATATATAATTTCAAGACAAATAATCATTTATATACTTATAGACGAATACTCGTAATATTCGAGTTGTCTTATTAAGCCGGCGGGAGACCATAACCTATAACATCCCATCGCACCCGCGCACACCGTTCCTATAACGGCCACTGTATAGTGAGTTTTCTCCTCTAATACCTTACTTGCCGTCATTGTTGTTTTCCTATCTCAACACGCCCATAATGCCATCTTAACAGTCAATCTGTCCTCCCCCGTTTCCCCCGCTATGTCTACTAAATACTCCTAAACCATCGTACACGTTACGACCGTGCATTATCCCATTCGACCCGATGGCACCGGCGTGTCGCGCGCATCATTCTCCTCGTTTCTCCTGCCTTCTTTGCCGTGCCCCAACACTATGCAGACGCCGTCGGGTATCGCGGGATATCATTTCTCGTGCTCGGGATCGGCCGAAATCGCGTCGATATCTGTTTTGTTTTTATTATTATTGTTCGTTGTTGTAGTCGATTTTCTAATTGTCCGTCCGTTTTCGCAGGGTACCAGATATTACCACCGCCGGCCAACGGCGGCATCAACGAGCCACAAGACTGCCCGTACTGCCGGCGGACGTTCAGCTGCTATTACTCGCTAAAAAGACACTTCCAAGACAAACACGGGCGATCGGACACGCTGTACGTGTGCGAGTTCTGTCGGCGGCGGTACCGGACCAAGAACAGCCTGACCACGCACAAGAGCCTGCAGCACAGGGCCTCGACGGTCGCGCTCAAGCGTCTGATGAAAACCGTCGCCGCCGGTCCGGCCGCTCCTACGACCGGACTGCCGCCCGCGCCGTATCCGACCCCGCCGACGGCCTTGTCGCTTCCGGCGCGGTCTCCGCGGCCCGCGCCCGCGGCGGAGTGTCCACTTCCCGCCGCAGCAGCAGTGTCTTCGCCGTCGCCGCCGCCGCCGCCGCAGCCGCCGTCGGCGGTCCGCGCCGCCTTGCTGTGTTGACCGCGACGGCCGGCCCCGCCGAGTCGCCGCGTTCCCCTATCATTATTGTTATTATTTGTATTATTTGTATTATTATCGTTTTACCGCGAGACCGTTGTGTTCGTCGTGTCGCCGTGCGAACGGTAAACGGGATCGGCGCATTGTCCCCCGGCACCGCGAATGACCGGCAAGACGGCGCCGCGGACGGCCCGGGAACGCGCGTTTTCCCGGGCATTTCCGTCCCGAACCGTCGCCGCTCGTTTCCGGTGCGGCGGGCGTGCAATAATAATAGAGTAATAGCAGCTGCGGTAAACATCGCCGGTAAAAAAAAAAAAAAACCGGCGGTATAAAATTATTGATTTTCAGTAATATTCTAATCGGTTCCACACACACACACACACACACACACAAACATATACACACACACCTCTTCCCCCACCTCTTAGAAAAAAACTTCTTTTTGTGCTCGAATGGCTCGTTTTAACGCCGTCTCTCATCCTCCCGTATACGTATATATCTAATATTTAAATATTAGGCGTTTATTTTTTTTTTTTTTCTCTCTCTCTTTTTCTCTCTTTCTTTTCGTATTGGCTAATACACAATATCATTATCTATTTTACGTACGCGTACAATTTGCATAAACGGATGAATCGCATTCGATTGCAATAAATACTTAATAAGATAATTTTCGGTACTTAAGACAACGCGACGTGTTTTACGTAATTAAATTTACTTTTTGCGTATCGCAAATTCGACTGACATGATTGATCTATTTTTTTTTTTTTTTATTTTATTTTTTTTTTTTTTAATTATTTTAAATTTAACAAATCTAAATATTATTTTATAAGGACATATCATATAATGTTTAAAGCAACAAAATATTAACGGTACCGTCGTTTTCGCGCACGCGCTCTCTCGTCGTCGTCATTAGCTTTTCCGGCGCGGGAAGTGTCGGGACACGGACACGCTCTCAACGGGGGGGCGCGTATAGGGGGAACACCCATACACCCTGTGCGCGCGCATGGATCGATGACGAATGTTTGTTTATTATTATTTACGTTTAAAAAAATTATATATATATATATATATCGATGATGGAACACGTCTAGTCTCCGTTTTTCACATTATTTTAACTTCGTTCAAATCTAAGGGTTTTTTGTTTTTTTTTTTTTTTTTTTCGAGAGTGTGTTATGGGTGCGGATATACACGTATATTATAGTAATAATGAATACTTCTCCGAGACAAAACTATACATATATATATATACATATTTCAAAAATAAAAATAATAACACTCTAACAACAACAACAACAACAACAGACTATCATTTTCGTTTGTTCATTATAAAAAAAAAAAAATAATAACGTAGGTGTACATGTCTTTTTTGAAATGTATATTATTATCAATAGACACACACACACACACACACACACACACACATGTGATCGGTTATATTATTATTATTATTATTATTATTATTATTATTATTATTATCATTAAAAATACAATATTATTTACATTTTACGAATATAACGAAGGGCCTTATACACTCAATACTTACTACATTTATAGGAAACCCGCGACAGGATACACGATATATTTTTATTATTGTTTAATTCTCATTATTCTATTGTATACACATTTTCTACTGTTATCATATTATTATTGTACGTCAATAGTTTTCGTTTTCTTCTTATTTTTTTTTTTTTTTTTACAGTTGATAATATTTCGTTGTTACACGCTATATAATATATTTAAAACAGAATAAAAAAAAATACCACAAATAACATTTATAATATAAAATAGGCTCTAACAAAATATAATATTTATAATAATTTATATAATAATTACAGACTGACAGAAACATTGGGTATTATAATTCATTATTTAGTTGTAAAAAAAATAAAATAAAAAAAAAAAAAAAAAAAACCGAACCAAAACCGCGTTCATTCCGTATTGAAATGTTACGGTACTATCATAATATATATATGTGTGTGTACACATAAATATTGTATTACCGACATGTTATTTTGTTGATCCGTTGAAATAATTATTATATTATATAGGCTGAAAAAAAAATAAAATAATAAAAAAAAATTAATATATATAAATACACGTACATTTGCATTGGCGTTGTCAATTGAACCGAATGTGGCGCGCGCCCTCCGAGTACCAACCAACAATACATTACAATAGATTATGCGCGGTGCGGATGCCGTTTCGCATTGATACGCGAAAACGACCGCCGGCCGCGCGCGATCGGGATTTTATCAATTTGCGTTAATTGTATTATTATTATTATTATTATTATTATTATTATTTTTTTTTTTTTAATTTCCTTCGTTATTATTGTACATTCCGCGATGCCCATACCTATAATGTAATATTAGATACGGAACATATATACATATAAATATACCGATAATGTTAAAACGTTGTTTATTTTGTACAATTGAAAAACCCGTGTAAATATAATGAGTAAAAAATACAAAAACAAAAAAAAAAAAAAAAAAAAAAAAAAAAAAAAAAAAAACGAAAAAAAAAAAATAAAATACTTATCGCGATTATATCCATTGAAATAACACAGAATACGATGGGAAAAAACGAAAAAAAATTTTTTTTTTTTTTTTACGCGATATAGGCGCCTAAATCTACATTACCGAAAACGTTGTCGCGCGTTTGTCCAACACATTTTACGTACCGACAATATTATCATTACAATTGCCGTTATACCCGGGACGCCCGTTAGTTTTCGAAAAAAAAAAAAAAAGACAAAAACCGTACGGTAACACACTACTTCCGCCACGACATTTTAACGCACCCGGGTTTTTTTTGTTTTTATACATATATATATATATAGTTTATTTTATTGGTTTTTTTTTCCGTTTTTGTTTTTTCGTATTACCCCGTATCGCCCGGTCGTAACAATAATACTATCACGTTGTCACTATACACACACCAATACACACACACACATACATATATATGTATAATACGTGTATGAACTATTATTGTTATTACGATTAAAACTTAGCGCGAGTGCAACTGCAATGTGAGATTGCGTTAAATTATCGTACGTCGTGTGTTATTAAAAAAAAAAAAAAAAAACCCGAATCGGGTAGGTATCGTGCCAGTTCGCGAAAACGGATTTTCTTCTTTTTTTCTCTTTTTTTTTTTTCGTCTTTTCTTTTTCCACACAATCACGCGGAGGCCCGATTTCCGAATACCCATGACCCCCGACAATTGCGATAGGTCGTACAGGTGGATATCCCGTTTCGCATATCGCGTTCCGTCCCGTTACAGACAGCGCGGGGATTGACGATATTGTAACGTATTATAAGCGCGCGCGATCAAAAAAGAAAAAAAAAATTTAAAAAAAAAAACACATATTATTATTATTCTTACGGTTTTTTTGTTTTTTGTTTTTTTTTTTTGTGTAATAGATACGTTTGCATAAGATAATTACATTATTTTAGACAGTATTTTGTAAGTATACGTAGGTACGTTTGTTAACGTTAAAAAATAATATTCGTGTGTGGTATTTGAGAACGTATATATATATATATATTTAATTTATTTATATACATTATAATAAAATCGATTTTAGTGGTTTTTTTTTTTTTTTATTTTTGTTTCGTCGTTTTTTTGTTTAACATTTTGGTTTCGGCCTTACGGAAAAAAATTAAAAAAAAAAAAAAAAAATTGACCGCGTGTGGATTACAAAATATAATCGTATATTATATTATTATTATTATTATTATTATTATATAACATTAGAAAATAAGAATATCGAAATTCAGTACAAAATATAACTAGAAATTTTCACAAAAAATTAGTCGAACTTGTTGCTCAATATTTTATTTTAGAAACGGTGTTTATTGTATTTATTAAAAACTGCAGTTTTCTACGGATCTGTAGTCTCTCACTCACTCTCTCTCTCTCTCTCTCTCTCTCTCTCTCTATCTTTATCACTATCTCTCTCGCAAAACGTATATAGTTTCTTTTAACCGCATTGATCTTCTACATCCGTTTCTGTTTTTCGGTTTTCATTTTATTTTTACACGGATATACGCATTACAAATAGATTTTTAACGACAGAGTAAATACGGGCATTAGAAAATTGACATTCGTTTTCGAATCGATTAATATTTTATCGTAATGTATTATATTATTATTATTATTATTATTATTATTATTATTATGATGTCAGTTCTGTTCCTCATCACCTGCAGACACAAATATTATTATTATTACGATTATGATTATTATTATTATTTTTTTTTATTATTATTATTATTATTACTATTACTGTCCTTATTATATTATTATTATTATTATTAATTATTATTAATTATTATTATTATTACCTTTTAACCTCTACCTAGTATCAATTTTTTATCAGGGTGAATACTTAAATGAAAATAAAAATAGGACATATATTATAATATACCGAAATGTATAAGATAATAATATTATGATTTTATTTTACTGTGCTACTCAGTGTACCGATATTATTAATTTTCAAACCGATAATAATAATAATATTATTGTGTGTATATATATATATATATAAATATTATATAAATAAATACCGTGTTTTTTTTTTTTTTTTTTTTTTTTTTTTGAATACATCACGATGTGAGATAAAGTGTTACGGCTACGACGTGCCACTCAATGTGTTGTATTGTATATTATGATATCGATACGATTTTTATATTATTACCATAATAATAATAACGTTTGAATGATAAGGTACGTATTATTATTATTATATATTACCTGATTGCAATAATATACGCCTGAAAAAACTTTCCGTCTGTTTATTTATTTTTTTTTTTTCTTCCGAAAACGATGTTCACTGCCGGATTGTTTACTGTATTTACACGGTTTAGTGCTCGGCTGTAACGATAAATATTATTGTTTGTTGTCTGTAAAACACCAAAAACCAAATGCCGAATCTTCACATTTTTATGTTAAACTTTACACACGCAAAAAAACGTTCTTATCCGTCGTTGTCTGTTTACTCGTCAAATAATAATACACGGTAGTTTTTTCAATAGCGTACCCGTGGCGCATTTGATAAATACGAACACAAATAATAAATCGCATTAATATTATAATGTAGCTGATAATTTCACAGTGAAAAATACAAAATACCTGTACGTACGAATAACAATTATTATTACGACACACACGACCGCGCGTTTAGGGTACGATACAAAAAAAAAAAAATCCGAAATAAACCGAATTAAAACGCGAATAAAAGTGAAATGAAAAAAAAATATACATATATATATATATATGATAATAATAACGATTACGTGTTGTTGCAATATTATACATTTTGATTGTATAGCTATAATATTTCATTATTAATATTATAATATTAAACGATACGGCGAAATTGTAAAATCAATATTAAGATGTTATTAAAAAAAAAAAAATAAAAAAAAAATAATAATAATAATACGTAATAAATCGCACAAGCATGACAATACGTATTTGAATATTGTAGGTCATCGTCACGACGGTTGTATATTACATATATTTACACGAGACATTAAAAGCCAAAAAAATAAAAAAAAATATATAATAATAATTAATAAAACGAACCAATAACCGAAGGGAAAATAGTAACATTGTATTTTTTTTTTTAGTCGAAATTATTGGATATTATACATTATACAATTAATGCGATATAACCCAATGCGCAACGTGCGTATCGTAAAAGACAAAAACCGTGTACAATCATATACGTATAATATTGATGGTGATTATAAAATAATATTGCGTTAAAAAAATGTACGTAAGGCGTACATAATAATGCATATGAACGGTGTTCTTGTTGTCGATTCATTTGTTTTTCTGCGCCTCCGTCGTCTCGCCGCACGGATACGACCGTCCGCAATCTCCTCCGGCCGTCCCGGTCGTTCCGGCCCGCTCCAGGCGGTCCTTAAACTCCTCGGGTATCCGTCCGTTTCCGACTACCTTGGCCACCATTCTGTCAACAAAACGACGAAACGCTAAAGAACCGGCGGCCGATTTGACGGCGGGGCCCCTCCTATCTCTCGATCCCCTCCCTTATTCCCTGCATTGACTACCCGGCGTCTGGGTTGATCAGAACAAGAGCAAAAAAAAAAAAAAATTGAATGTCAGCAAATAAAGGCTACGGTAGCGCGGACCGGGAAATTCGTATTTTCCAAACGCCCGTCAACTTTCGCTTATTCTGGCGGTGTTGTTGCACGCACCTGTTACACCGTCCGCGAGTCGGAGGTAATTTTATTTTGTCAGCTTTGAAAACGATTGAACCGCATGAACGGTCTGACGACATTATAAATATCCATGATAAAATTTATGTGAAACCGGAAGATGTTAAATGCATTTTTTCGGTAAACACACTCCTCCAGGTGCTTATGGCGTTCTTATCGTCACAACTTTGTACGCATAGGTTACACACTATACATATATCATACCCGTTTTCGGCTTTCAATTTTCTCGTCTAATACTAAAATTTGAATGCGATCATAACGTGATTTTTATTTTTTTTATTAACATCTGTGTATTAATAATTTTATGAAAAACGTTGGGACCCCCCGCCCCCCAAAAAAATAAAATCCTCGACCCGCCCCACTGGCAAAAACGGTCACGAATCGTCACGTATACGGCGGGCTGTTAAAACCGCGGAAACGAATAATGACGTTTGCGTATACGGATGGCCGGTAGCCGAGTAGGCTTCAGCTCGAGGATGCCCCCTCCTTCTATGAATAGCTCGAAAATCGCCAGAATGTTTTACACCCTTTTACCACGTCTAGAATGGGATGATATAAATATCATAAGAACATACCGGGTCTCGACGGTTATGTTTAACCGAATTACAAAACAAAACGTAAACAAATAGCGTACAATTTTCCCGTTTTTCCCAATTACAAAGAAAATTGAAAAACCGGCGCCCTCGACTAGGTTTAAAATCCAACTCGCGCATCACATACATTCTTTTGCGCTCGAAATCTAAACGAGCCTCACTCAGAATTGTTTTTTGCTAGCAATATTTATCGTTAAATTCGGTACACAAACTATGTGTTGTATCCCTAAAACTCTTATACATCCCTCACAGATCTCTTAACCTTCTGTTCTCGTGGATTCGTCCCGTAATACGTACACGAATTTACAATAGTAATAATTCTGAATCATTCCGAATCAACCATAGAATTATTGTCGGTGCATCGAATGTAAATGACAAACACCGAAATCGGACAGGCTCGACGTTCGAGATATTTGATTGCACAGAAATTATTCTACAGAGTTTCAGTAATAACTGTAATTTCGGAGTTCGGAAGAAATCACCCCACCGCATGCGTCCCGTCGTGATATTAAATAGTGACTGTGTACTTGGAACAGTTGGAACCCTGCCGCGCAACGAGACGGAATTGATTCGGCCCAATAATCTGACATGCCTGGAGAGTGGAAATGCCCAGCAAATAACGCCACAATACGCGAAAAATTTGCTAACGGCTACGCGCTCTGGTGGTAAAAGCCAAACGGTTATTACGTAACTGTCGATCACCCGCAGGCGGCGCACTATATAATTACATCGTGAAGTACAGTAACGTAGTGACGAACTACCGCACTCGAGGCCATTGCACTTTCGATTAGGCCAATCTAACTCAGCTTTTAGTATATTTCTACATTTATGCATATGACATGTGTAATGGATAAGATTACACGCCCAAAAAAAAAAAAAAAACCAAATTAAATTCATAATAATGATGTTAATTAAATCCAAACACAGGAATAACACGGCCTATCACGATAATAAATATTTAACAAAGAAATTAACGACAGATAAATTGTGTGTATCATAGTGATGCCAACGTTGTACATCTAATTTTAAATTGTGTCCTAAGTTATGTTATATGACGTTATCCTCAAATTTGTGTCATGATGCAACTTAACGCTAGATGCTGAATGGTTTGATCTAACCCACACTCAGAGATCGGCGTCTTAACCATGTCCCATTTTAATAGCGTGCTGCCATAACTGCCTTGTTCTGTTTTTGTTATATTTAACGTTACCCATTGTGCTCGCCCGCGGGAGGTCAAAACCAGGAACTTTTTCTTCTAGATTTTCTCTGTAGTAGAAAACCACAGGTAAGTACATTTCGGAATTCGCCATAAAAATATTTCCCAAAAGGGAAAACTAAATCGTTTGATGATAATTAAAAATAACTTAAAATAAACTAAGTTTTAATACGGATAGAACATGTATTATGCACTCGAATACATTTTTTTCAGACGGTCTCGAATAAATCTCAGCATTTAACTTATTTGAAGGCATACGTATGACCTGTCTCAACCATAATGTGCCAATCCAATTATTACGGCGGCTTACCGAGAATCCTATTAAGGAATGAGGTATACGACTAGTGACTGATAGGAGAAATCTAAACCGACCTAGTTATAATTATTATTATTATAAGTAATCGTTATTTTTGTATTAAAAAAAAAAAACCAATAAATACATAATATTATACGTGATTAATTAAAGTAAAATCGAAAAATAAAAAGATAGAAACTACCATGCCTTGTCCGTCGGTCCTAACCGTTGTTTCCCGTACGTTTTTAAAAACGAATTGTCTTTCATTTTCTTTTCATCCTTTAGGGGTTGTTGAATTTAAAAAAAGCTCTTTCTTACTTAACGGTTGCCTACGCCGTAATAAGGTTAATTTGTGTGCATTATTCAAATCGGACTGGTAGTACCTGAAATTAGCGCTTTAAACATCTTCAAACTCTTCGGCTTTATATATATTATATAGAAATAGATTACAAAATGTCGATGATAACCGACGTGAGCAGAATTTCGTTCCAAGAAAATAATATGTGGTCCATTGAAAATCCATACATTTACATTTATTTTTTCCGCCACACTTTTCACGTGTAATTTTCAATAATAACAAAAATCATAAAATTGTGTGTATCAATCTGACAAATACATAACTCTAGGAGATCTTACGACAATATATACTATTTGCAACTTACGCGGTCAACATTTGTTTGTCCCTGTTGTCGCTGCTCGATCCGTTCCCGGACATTACTTCGCAGACAGACCTTTCGAAGCAAGCAGACTTCTGGTCGTAAATGCTGGAAACTACGTCGCACACCAAACACGATGGCGAATGATTAATCCTTACCCGGTTGTTAAACTACGTGAAAAAAAAAATTCGGCAGATAAGTTTATTAGTAGGTCTGGTAATCTTGCAGAAGGCACCATATCAGATATCAGATTTAGTTGTTTTTTTTTTTTTTCATGAAATTAGGTAACAAAACTTGATACGCGTTTTTCACTAGTTATCAATAATCTATCAATATACTTTTAGCGTACAAAGTATATCTCCGAAGATGTTGTAATATGTAAACATAACCGACAAATATATGGTCATTGACGTGCCCGGGAATTTTCAATGGTAGGGGATGTAGTAAGTAATAAACATTGTAAATGAATAAATTGTAAAATCGTCTTCCGTTAGGTATAGACGTATACCATTTATATCTGACCCGGCACAGAGAATTTAAAAGCCGGATCCAAAACGGGAAATTTTCGTTCGATAAATCAAGTTTTTTCCCCCTTCTTTAATTTGGTTAAAATGTATAATTAAAAGATAAAATCATTAAAGAAACACTCGTAGTTATTGTATTTTTTAGCCATTCGGAGGTAGAGGGAGGAGATATTATAGCCCATAACTTCCACCCACGTACGCTACTGTATACGGTTATTACAATTGTTTTTTTTTCTTTTTTTTAACGTCTGGAATAAAATTTATCGTTTTGTCAATTTCGTTCTATGGTAAATTACACAGACTATACAATATACATATAATAACGTTACCTACGCAAACTATAATATAGTTCGTTCGCATATTGAGGTTTTCGCCTCGTGAATAAATTATATATTTATATGGCGTTATACAGATGACACCGCCCGTGCGTGTAAAACGCACACTGGACCTACGCCAAAAGCTAATTTATACAAAAAAGAACTACAAAGTGTATTTTATTTATTATAATATGTTGGTATCTGGAATCATTATAGAATAGCAAATATACTCTACAGGGCGATAAATTTATCATAAGACAGCAGTTTTCTCGGAAGATTTCGTAAGTGATTTTGATTTCTATTTTAATATTTTAATCATTTTAAAATCGTTTAAACGTTATTTTAATAATACTATTACAGATAAAAAATTTCATATAGACTTTTAAATGATAAATTCATAAACGGTAAATCTGATAATAATGTTATACACGTCAAAACCCGGAGAAAAATGTTTCTTTTCAAATCTGTATTCAAAAAAGGGATGGAGAGAGGTTCCAATTTAAAAATCAAAAGTATACACTCAATTAAGCTGCACGGATCAGGAGTTGAAAAAACTGTTAAAATAAAAATTAAACGATTCCACTATAATTAAAAACAAAAAAATGTTCTAGGATAATGGGGACGGGTGCAACCATTGTTATAGGTAATTTAATGTATACCTATAAGCAACGATAAACCACAACTTACGAAAAAACAATTCTTAGATGAGTTTAGTTGACAGTGATAAGTAGTAAATAAAGGTATGTTCTAGAATCTCCTCCTTCGCCATCGTGGACTCCTAGGAGGAGGAGGCAGATGTGGAAGAAGTTCTAGAACATACCATTGTATGTAAAAATTGTCTATGGAAAAAAAATCGTATATTAAATAAATATATTTCGTACATTTTCCCGTTTTTCCTCCATTTTTTCCGGTTTTCCGCATTTGATGAAAAAACTCTTGAGAAAATTGAAAAATGACTACCTTAAAGTACCTTCTCATACCGATTTCCTTTTAGAAAAGGTGCTACACATAAAAATCGGAGCAAATCCTCAGGTAGAAAATTTATACACAGAAAAAAAAAATAAAATTTTTGTAAAACCATAAGCTTTTTCGCTCCACTCAGAATCTAAAAGAAATAAAATACACTTAATACCCTCCGAGAAATTAGCTGGTTCAGCTTTTCTTTTTCACACATTTCATGATTTTTTTTTTCAACTCTCGTCTACTAAACATTTTACACGGGCGGAAGGTATAAAATATATAACATAGGTACTATGGGAAATATTTTAAGAATTTGTTTTTTAGTGAAATATTTTAGGATCCAATTCGAGATTACAAACGGGAATACATTTAACGGAAATTGATTGAATGCCTTCAAAATAACAGAATTCGGAAGAAATAAAATATGAGTAATATCAATCTGGAATGAATAAAATGAGGATAAAAAAGAAGTACAGGGATTCGGCTAAACAGATTCAAAAATTAGTAAATACGTACAACAAAAACAATAATTTTTATCATAAATTTCAATGTCAATTTTTATATATTTTCTGTAATTTTTTATTGGCTATTTATTTTTTCAACTAAACGATTTTCGTTGTTTTGTATTCAATATTTTGAGTTCGATTTTTTTATTTTCGCTATTTTGGAGGTAAACCATATTATACAAATATTCGTATATATTATGTATTTAATATTTTATAACACGTCTGGCGAGTACGAATAACCCCGGAAACATTATGCGCGATGATTCACGACAAGTACCAGTAAAATTTAAATACGAAATTTAGATAGACGCCGACAAGGGCGCAGCGTAGACGTGTCCTCTTTAAATATTTATGGTATAGGTAGTCTAGTCGATTCTATTTATACACAATGTATACGATGCGCGCGTAGACTGTATACAGAGTGATTTATTATTACACCCATTCATTTTTTCTGGATTTTGGATTTTGCGTACGCATACCTATTGTACGTGAACCGGGTCACGAAAACCTCGACGCCCGCGGTAGCGTAAGTTCGGTTTAGTGGCGCCCGCGTGTTTAATAATACGTATAACACGATGTATAATTAACACCCATCTACCCACCCACACCAGAACAGAATCGTAACAGTTGATAAATATTATTTAGAGTTTGCATAATATTTAACGTTTATTAAAGCAACAGAAAAAATTAGTTTTGAAGTGATAGTTAGGACCAATATCGGCTGTATAAATTATTGACTGTGTATAAATCGTGATAAAGTTTATCATACCGCGATATTAATCTTATAATTATCTTGTTATAATAAAATACTAATAACAGTCAGTACCCATAATAATTATGTATGTACGCAATATATTTCTATAATATTCTGTACCAAACCTAACCTACTTATAATAATTTACTTTGTCACGACTCTTAGATACGCACCCACTAAATAAAATCGTTAAATCCATAGCGGTCTTTACTCCTTGCGTATAGGTTTTGGGCGCCACTGGTTAGGTTAAGCTATGGACTTGACGGGTTAGTGGACGCTGCGGGACGTCAGTTCGCCCGTCTTCTCAGGATTGCACATTGTTTGATTGGTATATTGCATTTGTGCGAACCCTCAAATCTCTCCGCAAATGGCAAAGCGTGAAATTCGTAGAGCGTATTTTAAGTGAAACGATTACCGACAGCGGCACTAGGGAAGTATTGCAAAAACAGATCCCGCGCTGCTGGTCGGTTAAACCGGGAAAAAAAAATTACGTTTTTAAAGTAACTCTGGAATTGTAGTGTACCTAAACTTTTGAACAGCGCGTGTAACGTTATTGGTGTAATTGATTTGCAATAACTGAACGGTTAAACAATGCTATAAAAAGTTATAGGCAGGTAAACGACGACGTGGATACGCTCGTTTACGACACGTTGCCCATTTTTTCTCAATTGTAATCCGTACCTATATTTTATTAGTGGCGTACGCGTAGTGAAAATAAAACGTTAATAACGGTTCGACAAACGGATGTCCATGTGAAACGTGGAGTTTCGGTATAACGTTTCCCGTTTTCAGACAGCCCTAAAGACAAATACGATATAATATTATAATGCGTGTGTGTACGACGGCGTTTAAGTACAAACAAATCGCATTCTCGTTCGATTCGCCACAGCATAATATTACGAGTTCGCATTAAACATAATAATAATAATAATAATAATAAAGACGCCGCTGAAATTATAATTGCCGTCTAGCGCGTGACTGGCGACTATAAAAAAAAAAAAATAAAAAAAAATAATAATAACGTAATATTCCGTTCGGGCTCCGGTTGACGTACGTAAAGCTAATATCCCGGTCGCGGTTAGTATATAATGGTACAACGTATGCGTTATTAATTCCTTTCGTTCGTTCAGCCGTAAATAATAGGTACTTTGGGACGAATGCTGTCCGTGTTATTTCCGTTAAAAACACGTCCACGCAAAAGAACCGAACTCTTGAAATTTTAGATTTCGGACGGGAAACGCTTTTTAATACGCGTTCAATCAGCGCCGTAGCTGTATGGGAAACGGCTCCGGGGCAGATAAATAACCAGGCCCTCTAACTACCCACTATATTAATTTTTTATGAAAATTCGAAATATACCTAAACGTAACATTGTTTTTTCAATTTTCAATTGTGAATACTTGCTATCAGAACCGTATTTGACGGAGGGTCTTAAGGGCACTTGCCCCGGGCGGAGCAAATTTAAAACTTTTTGACCCCTGGCTTATGATTTAAAACACATAGTTATAATGAGGAAGTTTCCGAATTTTTAATTTTTTCCTTAACTACTTAGATATTGGGTATTTTTAATTTTTAATTAAAAAAGACCCTGCTTACTATACGGAACCACAAATGAAAATAATGAACAGATAATAATTTATAAATATACAAAGTGAAAAGGAAATCCAGTTTATCCTACTATACAAATTATAATTAGTAAATTGTATATGTGTAATGTGTAATAAATTGTAATTATTTGCATGCAATTAGGCGTGGTATCAAAAACTAGGAGGGGGGCTGTAGACATGTGTCTCCGACTTCCCACACCTCAAAACTATTTTTTTTCAAATTTTTTCTCAGCCAATATTTAGCATGTAATTGATTGTGTTTACACGGTTGGTCCAGCAACTCCATCGTTATCCGATGATGCGCAAAATCCATTTACCTAATTCACACGTGTACCCAAACACTTCGCAAAATACTCGGGATTGCAAAAATCGTTGTATTGAAAAGGGTACGTTATTTATATTTCGCACGAATAGTACGTTTATTATTGGAAAAAATTGCACTCATTTATTTTATTTGAATGTGAGTTCGTATAATTTCGATTTTAAACGGTTCACACGAGACATATGTTATGCGAACTGCGCTGTTGAACCGGCGCGCGCAGAGGTCCGGTGGGATTTTTTAACGACCCGGTTCGGTGAACCGGATTTTCACTCGGGGGCGTCATTTAACATTTTTTCACGGGGTACAATACGAATATTGAATAAAGCCGGTTCGCTTTGATCACGTATACCACAATAACGACAAAACGAATACATTTCTATGTGCAAGTTTATCATTCAATTATAATAACATATTATTATTAATATTGACTATTGATAATATAGGTACCTACAATATTCAAAGACCGGTTTCAGTATGTATTTCAGTAGAGAGTTTTAAAATTGCACAAACTACACTCAACCGTGTACATAGGTATAGAATATTATATATTTTTTTTAAATAATAATTTTTAAAAATAAAATTCACTATTCCATAATGTATATAGCACCAATTCTATTGTATTATTAATGTTGTGTTTATGTCTTCCGGTACATATCGAATTAAATTTGATAAAAAAAAAAACAAAAATAAAATGGGCAATAACGATATCGGTGCTAATCTATAAAGATATTAAACTTCAGTTTCTTATCTATCTATGTAGTTATCGCTAAACTGTCGTGATAAAACGAGAAAAACCTTTTCCGTAAAATCTATTACGAAAATAGGACTATAATGATATTATTCTGAAAATTCTGTGAAATCATCTGCATCTATATATTTTGAATGTGCTAAAAGAACGTTCACGGGACGCCATATACCCGCCAAAGACGCCACCGTTTTCGCCGATGTCTTGAATAGCCCCGATTTACAATTACTGTTCAGCGGCCACGCTCGCCGCACCGGAAAACGCTCAACGGGAAGTATTTATTATGATAAACTGATAACAGTTAAGTGTTATTTCGCGGAAAATAAGTCATATACCTTGTCCAGAAGCGATTCGATCGCCTCCGCGGTAACTCCTCGGCCGTCAGCCGCGTCCCTCCGGCGACGGCGGAACGGACCCAGGGTGCCCAAATGCAACAGCGTAGGCGTTTTGACGAGGGCCGACAGCACGCCGAGCAACGCGACCCCGGCCAGCGGCCACAGCAACGGTTTGATGTTCAATTCGCCGGGCTTGTGTACTTCGTCGCCGCCGCCGCCGCCGCCGCCGCCGTAGTTTTGCGAGTGTTGTTCGTATTGTTGTTGCCGGTGATAATAAATCTCGCCGGGAGGCGCACCGCCGGCCTGCGGGTAATAATGGCCGGAGACCTGGTGCGGTCGGAAGTACTCGGGCCGTTCCTCGTAATAGTAATCTCTGGGCGGGCCGTAAGTGTTTTGTACTGCTGGGTAACCGTCGTAATCTGAAATCGTGTTGAAAATCTCCGATAGTTAGTTTATCCGCGCGACACGCGTGCGACAGGGGATGGGAGGGGGAAGGTTATACGTTCCGTTTTCGATTCTGACGAGCTTTCGGAAAACGACTTTCCGCAAAATCGGTTGAGTGTTCTCAACGGTATGTGTTATAGAAAAAAAAAAAAAAAAACCCCGCACGTTCATTGTAGTCTATAATGTATCATATAATAAATACAATAAATATAATAAATAGTAATAATAATAATTTTATACGGGGAGCGAAACGAGATTAATGAAGTCGGGCGGACGTTCGAGATTTCGCGCTTGTGATAATTAAAAAAAAAAAAAAAAAACAATCGAATATTATAATTTTGTCCTTATCAGACGTCTCGTCGTAGCTTGTAAAATATCCGACCGTGCCTCTCATAATCTTATAATATTACGGTAGTGTGCACAATACGCGTGCGGCGGACACACACTGCACCCACCCCGAGGTAAAATGTCTGCTCGGTTTTTTTTTTCCTTCCTTAACAATAATATTACATTATAGTATACAGCCGCGCGTCTTATACCCAGACGGTCTATGTACCGATTCGATTGTAACTATATTTATATACATACATGTACAGGGCGATTATTTTGCCGTAAACCTGCGATTTTCTCGGGGTGTTTCAAGCGAGTTTGATTTTTTTTCTCTTTTCAACCGTTACGGAACCTTTATTTTAACACGGTTTTTATTCCGTTACCCGCACTCTTTATGCACCCGAAATGAGTATCCGCTAAAGATTTCCAAGAGAATATATGTTGTCTAGTTACGCGGGTATATGCACAAACACTGCAGCTGATATCTGCAGATTTACCGTCTATGCCGCGTTATAAGCCGCGTTTAGACTGGAGGAGCGTGCGATGGTAATGAATTGCATCATATTATCTATTTTTAAACGATAAATCTTCACTACTCGTTTCAGGTAGTAACGAATAAGGGTGACAAATTTAAAACAGCGTTCAAACAAAGCTTAAACGGTTCCATAATGGTTAGTAAAAAAAACAAACAAAAAATCGACAGAAATCAAATTTCACTCGAAATCCTCCGAGAAAATCGCCGGTTGGCGATAAAAGAATCGCCCTGTATACGTATATATATATATATAATATATATACATATGCTAGCGGTAATTTAATATTTTGTTTGTGTGCACGACGGTTTAACGTGTTCGGTACGTAAAATATTATGTGTATAAGTATACGAAACGCACGCACGCCTAATAATATATTATAATGTATACGTATATATTACATATATATATAGGATATTTGATTCGGGTCGTCGCTGAATTTATGCCGATTATTAAACCGGTTAAACGTGCTCACGACCAATTTTCTAATCCCATCTGTAGACGCATAGTGTTGTTAAGAAAAAAAAAAAATAAAAAATAAAACATGGGTACACGCGCTCGGTCGTCACGCGTACGGCCGCGAAATTACAGCAATTACCGGCGAAATTAAAATAATTAATAAACTCGCGGTTGGCGGTAACGCGGCAGTTTTTTATTATTATTATTATTTTTTTTTTTTTACTTATATCTCTCGCAAAAACCGCCCAAAATAATAACAATCCGTGTATACGACATGTTATATTAACCGCGCGTACCACTCTATCGGGTAATTTTTTTTTATGTACTGCGCGTTAGTTACTATATTACGCATAATATTATCGTGTACATAATAATCATAATAGAGGCGTACGGCTGTTACATTAGTTGTAGTTTATAAAACCGTTTAAGGTGTTTTTTTTTTTTTTTTTTTTTTTACTTCCCATGTATTATTATAATTATTACCGGCTAGACACGACATTCGCGATCGGCCACGGCCACGGAACCGGTTATTCATAATAGCTATTTATAAATATCCCATCCCGAACACTATCCGCCGGTGTGCAAAATCATAATAATATCATGTCTGCACCGCCGGCCAGACACGTCCGCCTTCGTGTCCACAATATTTCCTATGATACGGTCGTTCCCTTCGAGACGAATATTCGCTCCCGACGCACAGACTTCTGGGCGCGGCCACCGGCGGTCGGACCCGGCGCTGATGGAACCCGATGTTGTTCGTTCGATAATATATTATTCGTCCCGCCTATAACTATTTCTCCCTCTCCGCCCTCCCCCCCCCCATTTCAGGATTACAGGGAAATCCTGGTACCTGTGAGATCGTCGAATCGCTCGTAAACGCTTCCTCGTGCCGGTCCCTGAAAGTATTTATTACCAATGCGAGTTATTAATCCCCGGGTACAAACGTCCGAGGAAAAAAATAAAAAAATGCTCGCATTCCGACTGCAATGAAGAGAGAACTATTGAAAACTTTTTTTAAAACTCGTTTCATTAATTAAAGTTAATAAATAAATATTAAATAAATATTGTATAATAGAATATATTTTATTTTTTTCCATTATGATTTTTTATTTCTTACGTTTCATTTTTTTCACGGACATCTTGGTAAAACACCACAAAAGGCACGAATCGTGTATCGTTTAAATCGTGTGTACCCTAAAATTCTCTTTACTTTGACTTTTACGCGCTGTAGACGAGAACATTAACAATACGATTTATTTACAAAGACAAATTTGTGAAATATTAAATGCCGCGGTTTAATACAACGCGACGACAATTATACTCGCCTTTACCCGAAACCTGATTGCCCGATCCTGCACTGGTGTAGCTGCCCTGCACCTGATTGACTCGAGATTGACTGGTCTCGAGACGGTCCCGCGACGATAAAGCATCCGGAGTATGGCGGTCGTAAACGGCGTCCTTTTGCAGAGCGACTTGCGACGAACCGTTTGTCGGTTTGGCCACAACGGCGCTTGTAAAAGAGCCGTAAAGTCCGCAAAATCCAGCGGTAGCGGCCAACAGACGCGGTAACGCGGTCTGTAGTTTGACCATCATGGTGTTGGGCCGCCAAGGAACGTGCCCGGGGGAAAACAGCGACAGACTTCGACTTCGGAGGCAAGACTACAATTCGTTTCGGAGACGAACAACTTCTTCGAACTGCTTCAGCATCGGACCCGGAGGATGTCCCGGAGACAAGACTATAGTGACACTGACGACGAAAATAACAGAATGAGCGTTGCAACAATAATAGTTCGGTTGCCGTTACAATTCGGTAACTCTCTGCACAGAACACGCATTGCAAAAGTGTATTGTTTCGAACGTCGCTTAATTTCACAACAACTACGACGACAGTGGCCTGGAATATTATCATTACATTGTTTCCAAAAATAATTATAATAACAATAACGAAAATAATCATTATTATACCGTCGACGTAGTTTTTATTCTTTTTTAATCACATCCACTTTCCCCAATTACAATTATGTTTTTAATTGACGACAGTATTATGCAAATTATATATTAGCGTACAGCGTATATTGAATGTATACCACTGCTCCACCGAAGTGTCTACGATTTTTCCTCATTTATATCTTATTTTTATCCCGCAGTTGTCACTCGTCATTTTTTAAGTTCTGTGTGTAGAGAAGAATGAATTGGTTACATAAAGATGTTTATTTTTTTATTTTTTTTAACACTTTTACTTCCAGAAAGCTTATTCCAGTGTACACGGTATAGCCCTTTTTCTGAAAAAAATTTTCTTGGGGTGATACTTTAGAGAGGTCATTTTTTCATGTTCCCGGAAGTTTTTGTCGACAAATGGGAAATACGGGGAAAATCGGTACAATTTTAAACAAATATTATTAAAGAAAATATATAATACCTATTTAATTATTTTACAATTATATGACATAAATATTATTGAAATGGTATCACTATCAAGTAAACTCCATTCGTTTTTTTCGTTAGCAATGGTTTATCGTTGCTTACAGATTTATATTAAATTTACCCTTTACTACCTTCCCAACTTCCCACCTACAACAGTGGATGTACCCGTCCCCATTATCCTAGGACAGCTTTTTTTTTAATCGTCGACATGGGCACTGTATCATCATATATTATTATAATAGTCGTTTTTCGCGTAAATAATACAATGTACACGAAAAATGTAATCGAGGTTTCCAGGTCGGTGTCAAATTTCCCTGTTGATAAATTATCGTCGGGTGTGTATTTTACGTCTGTTATACAAAATATATTTTCAAAGGGTTTTGTTAGTTTACGAGTGTAGTTATTGATCAAAAAGCAAAACTAGTTTCTTCTTTTTTTTTTTTTTTAATTTTAATGTCCAACTCCTCCGCGATATAATAGTAATCAAATAATTAACAAAAATCGACCGACTGATGGGACCGACAATTCACCGGCTTTCAAACCATGAATGATCACATATTTTCGCAATTAAATCACTTATTATACAAACATAAACACTCGTACACTTGTATTACACAAAATGTATTCAGTTTGTAAAAGTACATTTTTAACATAGTACACACGATTGACGGAACATACGTAATTTGTTTCTCAAACTATTATTAAAACTTAATGCGCGATATATTTAGTTATGTTTTATTAGATTGTGTTAAAATGTAAATTGTAATTTAAATACTAGATGCCGTGTTTTTTCTACAAGCAACCTAATGTACACCGATAATTATACCGTGTTTACACACACAAATTCCGGATTATAACATTATCTAGTATATTTGTCTCAAAATCAATCCACCGAATCATGGGCAATAAACTTTGTCATTTGGCAAAAATCGAATTTCAATGTAACGTCTTTCTAATCGTAATATCATAAATCAATGATTACAATATTATTACATTATTATTATTAATATTATACAATATTAAAAATTATTCAATTACAAAACATTTTTAAATTTTAAAATATATGATTAGTAGTTTGAGTAAAAGGATTTAATTTGAATTAAATGACTTTGAAAATGTTTTATTAGTGGATAAGCCCCTCTCGAGTTTTCTTATTATTGCGAATTAGTAATTGGATTTTTACCAATACATTTCTATCGAATGTCAATTTAAATTCTATTCGGTGCCACACAGAGTGCCTATAGAATATGTGTAATATGTTTAAATTTATATATAAATACTTTGTAAACTAATCTGGATTTGAATTTAACGTACTATACTATACAGGGTGATTTTTTTATCATGAACCAGAAATTATCTCAGAAGATTTTAAGTGAATTTTATTTCTGTTTTTTCTAATAATTATAGAATTGTTTACGCTTTATTTCAAAACTATTTCTAACTTTATACCCCTACTCCATATACTTTAAATAAGTACATACTTTTGATTTTCAAATAGGAACCCCTCCTTTTGAACACTGATTTGAATACAGAATATTTTTCTAGAATTTTGATATGCACAACACTAATATCAGATTTACCGTTTATGAGTTATAACAGCTTAAAGTGTTGACCGCGAAGAGTTTTTATAGTCTCATAGATATGCAATTTATTACCCTTCCCTTCTCCTCCAGTCAAAACTTTAAACTGTTATAACTCATAAACAGTAAATCTAATATTAGTGTTATGCATATCAAAATGTCTAGAAAAATATTCTGTATTCAAATCTGTGTTTAAAAGGGGGAAGGGGAAGTTCCTGTTTTAAAATCAAAATTATGTACTTATTTAAAGTATATGAAGTAGGGGTAAAAAATTAAAAATGGTTTTAAAATAAACCTTGAACAATTCCATAATGGTTTGTAAATACAGAAATCATATTCAGTTTAAATCCTCTGAGATAATGGTTAATGATAAAAAAATCACTCTGTATACATTGTATTAAATTGCATTGAACCGTTATATATTCGATAAAGAACAATGAATACCAAATACGAATTACACCAAACGAGTAAATAACTACCATTGGAGATATTAATGATATCGAATTATAAGGCACTGAAAATAACTGAATTAGGCGCTTTAATATGACCTAACAAATCTTAAAATAAGTTATAGTAAGCAATAAGAACATGAAAAACGGCAAAAAATAAAAACACTTATTTATTTTTTAAATATTCAAATACAATTAATAGGAAATCATAAATGTAGACTGGTCAATACACCGGATTACTTAAAAATAAATTATAATATAAAATGAAAATGTAGGTATTTTTCTTATAGATTCACAAAAATACCATTTATGAAAAATACAAAATAAATCATTATATTATGTATATTAACAAAAAAAAGAGCACCAACAATGAAAAATAATAGTAAAAATCTAAAATATTTCAAATATGCAAAAAATAGCAATATAAAATTCCGTATTTGAAATCTCTAGTGCATAAAAAAAAATGTAATGTTTACTCTGCTATTTTTATCTGTATCCTTTAATAATTAGTAAAAGTTACAAAATCCGAACCATGTTCATAACATTGATAATAAACTTGATGCTCTAAAGTTCTATAACAAAAGCCACGAAATAAGCATAACACTCCGTATATTTTGAAGTATATTAAAAATTATGTTACGGAATCTGACAATCGTATATAGTAACGGTAATTCTTTATGATATTTACAATGAAAACAAAAACGGACAATGACGTTGTCAAGGAAGTAATATAGGGTTAAAATTTCATCGTGGGGCTAGGTAGTTTCAATATAAAATTAATTATAGTGTCGAAGAAAATTAGTTCCGATTTTACAAAGACCAGAATACTACGATAAAATAAAAGTTCGTAAAATTTCTTTTTTATTTAAGATTATATTAAATGCGATTTGGCGCATTATTTTCTTACTTGTAAAAATTAAATGCAAAACTAAAAACGCGTATTTGTGGATAAAAAAAAAGTCACGCGATATTTACCGCAACAGAATTATTATTATACCGCATTATTTTATATTATTCACCATACAGTTGCATTCTTAAAATTATGTACTTCAACAAGACTTTACATAGGAAGACCAATATTATAATATACATATATATATATATTAATATGACCCACTAACACTTAGGAACGGACCAGGAAAACTATGTAACATCGGCGGAAGTCAGGAGTGGGACTCAGCGGGTACAGGGTGTCTAAAATAAATCACTTTTAGGTTTTTCGTGGTATTTATAAGGTACCAGCTGATTTTTGCAAGCGCAGAAGACTTTTTTCGCACCGATACATTCGTGTAATAAACACCTTTACGTCACCTTATAGTACAATAATATTTGAAAATAGGTAAGAAAATGGGGACGGATGCAGCCACTGGTGTAGGTGGAAAGTTGAGAAGGTAGGATACAGACGGGAATATAATGTACATCTGTAAGCAACAATAAACCATTGCTTACGAAAAAACGATTCTGAGCGGAGTTCAGTAGATAGTGATACTTATACATTTTCTTTAATAATATTTGTTAAACATTGTACCGATTTTCCTGGTTTTTCTATGTTTTTTTCCTGTTTTTCACAATTGCTGAGATAACTCCGGAGAAAATCGATAAACGATCTCCTTAAAGTACCTTCCTAATGAAATTTCCTTTCAGAAAAATTGTTGTCATTAAAAATTGGAGCAAAATTGCTGGTAGAAAAGTTGTCCACAGAAAAAAAAAATCGCAATGTTATTCAAATATATTTCGTACATTTTNCCGATTTTTTTTTTTTTGATTTTTCACATTTGATGAAAAAACTCTTGAGAAAATCGAAACATGACCCCTTTAAGGTACCTCCCCACACTGATTTCCATTCAGAAAAGTTGCTAAACGTAAAAATCGGAGCGAGTTTTCTGGTAAAAAAGTTGTCCACAGAAATTAAAAAGAAAAAACATCTTTGTAAAACCATAAATTTCTTCGCTCCACTCAGAATCTACAAAAAATTCAAAACAAAAGGGGGAAAAAATAATGATTTATCCATTATTTTTGATTTTTACACAATCGACCTAAAAGAATAGCACATACGAGTAATACATTTACATATTGTATTACATATGCATATTAACTTTTCAACAATTTATAATGCGCAAAAAACAAAAAAATCACATGT